TTGTGGGTTTCGAGACAAAAGCAAAGCATCGCGGGCCTGCTCCGGGAGGTGGGCGGGTTTTGTTTTATCCTTGTTTGCTGGATCGATTGATACTGCAGGCAGTATGTAGGTGTGAAAAACAACGTGTTGGTGGTATCCGGTTTGATTACGGCCCTGACCGGTTCCCTCGGCCTTGTCGTTACGTTTCCGATATAGCAACAGCTTAACCTCGGATCGGTCCACCAGCATCCGGCGGGATTTCTGAGAGATTCCCCCATATTCTGACCCTTTTGAGATTTAGGGCAGTGATGAATTATATGGGTTCCTTACGTGCTATTTATATCGGTTGATTAGATTAGTCGATGATAATTTGGGAAGTAGTTGGTCATTAACGCTTCCTGCTGCGCACCCTCGAGCCGTGTGTGAGACTGCTAATCAGGGAATCTTGGTGTGCCTTTTGAATTCTCTCATGTGTCTAGAAGTCTTACCTTGTTAAATCTTGCAAGAAGGTTAATTTTTACATCTCCTGGTGCAATTCCATTGCAGCACGACCTTACGTAGCTTTTGGTAATCACTCTGGCACTGGTGGCACATATAATCGCCATAGATTCTTGGTTAGAAATGGCATCCATATTCATTCTCTAGAATTTCAGTTAAAAAGCAGATAAGATGCAGCTCCACTATTTATTTAGTTCCTGTTCAGAGGTGTATCAAAGGCGTCGTCAACTTTCTTCATGTGTGGGAACTGAACAGATAATAACGCTCACCCAAAAACTCCGCTTCTTGCAGGAGTCATGTGGCAGCAGCTTTGAAAAGGTGGCTACATATGACGTATGCATGAAAAATCACCGTTCATTTGCGTGACCTGACATTCAGATCCCATGCATCGGTTGCCTTGATCGATTCATTTAGCATTGTCAGACAACAGCACATGTGTATACTTTGGTGGCTTGAAATATTCGATGGTGATGGTGTTCTACATGTCAAGGTTATATAAGTAAAATATCAGCGCGTGGATGGGCAAAGAGTACAGTCATTTAGGGACTGCATCTGTTCGGGAAGCTTAAGTCTCTGACATCTGCCTAAGAGCATCTCCAATTCCATCAAAGGCGAAAAGGAATTTGGTTTTCATTGTTTTCGCTACTACTCTGTGTTTAAAAGAGACTAAAGTAAGGGCTTCACTTTGTCGGAAGAAGAGTACCATTCGCATTTGTAATAATAATTCAATCTCGCAATTTCTGTCCACCTACTGTAAGTGGCTTCTTCCTTCGAGCAACCGCAATAAGAGGACTCACGGCACCTCAAATAGATGGTCTGCGAGGCTGCATTTGAAGGGAATCGATTACATGCAGATCCCTTTTTAAAGAGTTACCATATCCAGCTCCATGACTGTCGTTATGGGGGACAAGGGTTGTTCCTCTCTCAGTACATTATACTCATGAAAGTCGCATGCGTAAATGGAGCGCTTAAAAACGAAGACCTCGAATTGTGCAGAACGAATCTACGACTTGAATAGAAGGGAGAAGCACAGAATTTACTTCTCAATGAAAAAAATAAAAAAAAATCAAAAATCAAAAATCAAAAATCAGACTTTACAGGTGATATGAGTTTCAACCAAAAGGAGAAATTTATGACTCCTAATGAGGTTCTCTTTTGTAGCAGGAAATAAATAGGACCTAAACATTCCTACTCTATGTCACTTGGACCATAATGAATTATATCTGGGTTCATATCAATAAACTCCATTGCAAAATCGGAGCAAGAATAATTAGAGTTGAAACCGATCATCCGCCTGATCTTTGAAGCCTGCAGGCAATGAGTTTTGCAAGAATAACTGCAAAGCCTTACAAGGCTAGCCTGCACTCTTCGTACAAAAATAATCAGAGGGTCTCCTCAGCTGTCGATGTAGAAGCTAATGTTGCTTGATGACCTTTGGGCTGCTTAAAAGCCCACAAAATCATTAACACTTAATCCTCTATGAACACATCAGAAACCAACAAAAACGTCCACTCACAGAAGACCAAGCTTCACAATTCTGAGAAGGTGTATTCTTTTTAATGATGTGTAGCCAAAGAGGTATGTTGTGTTGTGAAAAGATACTCCTAGTGTAATCTATTGCATTAAACAATACCAACCCCTCAAATGTCGCACTAATGATCGTCTCAATGGGGCATTAGCAGGAATACAGTGGTATGTTCCATAGATTAGATATAATGATGTATCAACGACCCTCGGATCCATTCTAAGATACAGCTGTGAAGTTTGAATAAAAATTCACATAAAGGTCCACTTTTCAAGTGGTTACAATACGTGGTCTTTTAATTATGTGTTCCCCCAAATCCATTAGTACATGCCTGCTTGAATATCACCCCTACAAGCTGACGTAAAAAAATACAGCATCTTATCTGAACACGGAACTCGGAGACATTTTAAAAGAAATACATAATTGTCAACACAGTTTCTCCAGCTTTTGTCTTCCTCAATTGATGACAGCACACTGAAGTGGCATCAGAGTACTAGTTTAATACCAACAAGTGCTTAATTTGTTTTTCTTCATATTTCCAGAAGTAACACACTGGCAGCCTATCACTGGTGTTGCTGAGCACATATTTACAACTTAAACAGCAATCCAGACAAGTTAATAAGCCATTCAGCCTGTGAGCCAGGTGACATCCAACACAAGAGTGGAGTTCGTCATGTTTCAAAATTCTTGTACCAATGGTTTGAGCTTCACGTTGACTGATGTATGCAAGCCTCACCCCTCCACCTGCCCGACAGAAAACTACTTGAAAATAATCAGTAACGAATATATATATATATATATATATATATATCTATATATATATGTTCTCCAGTACAATTTTGCATTTAGTGATTCGGGTTGTTATTAACACCCCCTAGAGGACCCATAACTACGGATCACAACTAATCCATGAGGGATAAAAGCTGACTTCAGAAGAGCACCTCCTGGTGAACTCGCGCATGCGTAAACATGGATAAAAAACTAATGTCAAAGTAATCACTAGTGCATGGAAGGTACCAGTACACAAAAGTCATAGGATGGGGTACAAACCTCAAGGAGTTTCACTGCTTCTTTGGGGTGTCAGAGTGGGTATTACAGCCCGGACACTTGAGAGTCTGCTCCTTTGTAACGCCGCTCTGCAAATCAAACGAATCCTGCATGATTGGGAGAAAGGTCCTTCATATTAATGCCAGATAAACTGCGTCTCGTGAAACACACTGTCAGTGTGTGTGTCATACATACATGCCCTTGGTGAACAGAAGAAACCCAACTCACCCCAAAAGCATCTAACTTATCCCTCCACACGGTCACCACTTTCAGTTGAATCAAAGCGTGAAAAAATGCTTGTGTTGCAATTGAAGAAGCAACGAATCTGCGAGTGAAGAAGAAGAAGCCGGAGTTTGGTTCAAATCTGGATTCATCCTAATTTGGAGACGTTCTGAGATGTTTGTGCCCTCTCATCCAACCAGAGTTTAGATGTTATGTTGTCAAAATCCTCAAAAAGTACAATGGTCTGTTTAATCTTTACATTTATTTATTGAACCTATTGCTTATGTTTAATACATTCTAATGTACATGAACATCCAATTTTTTAACAAATTTTGAAATGCATGTTGTCTTACTCTCATGTGTAGTATCTTATAAAGTAGTATTTGCACCTCCCAATTGTGTGGTATTTCAACTCATAATTAATTACTACTTGAGAAAAAGATACTTCAAATTATATAATACAGTTCTGTAAGATTATGAAATGATTATTACAAATATTCTAAGTGAAATAGTTTAACCTTGATTGAAGATTCTAATTTACAAGAGTTAATAAAAAAAAACTAAGAAGAATTGGCTAGTATATATTTATTAGGAAGAAAACACATTTTATTCACCACAATAATGTAATTATGAAAAATGGATGAAAAAAGTTCACATGCATATTCTACCAAAATAATACATCCATAGCTGGTTGCAATTTTTTCAATCATCACATTAATGTTGACATATTATTAGATTTGCTTACAAACAACAATGTGATTATTCTAAGATGGATGGATTAAGGAACAATCATACTCCACTAATCTAATTGTTTCCAAATCCATACATGTTATCTAGACATTTGGTTGTGTTTGGAGTTGCAAAGCATGCCAGTAGAATAAGAAGCAAGATTGATCCGCATTACAAAATGGCAAGAAAATGCCTTTGAAGTTCGTTTTGTTGGCCTAGTGCCCAAAAATCAAGAGACACTTTATACTTAAGATAGAATGTGAGAGGTCTTAATTCTTATTTTTTTTTGATTGGCTGATATTAGAAAGTCTCTTTAACTTGCCTTTGTATTTTAAAAAATAAGTTAAAAGTCCTAAGAGAAAAAGATGCTGTAGAATGCACTTTTTTTCTTAAATGGCATAAACAATATTATTCTCTAGAATTTCCAATGGGTCCATCTTAAAAAAAAATGTTTAAAAAAAATAATTCAAGAAGCTGTGTTAGAAAATGTGTAAAATATCTATTAAAAAAATCAAATATTTTATACTTTTTAAAATTATTTAAAACAAGATATGAGCTGAAATATTTAAACTTGTTTTCTACTAGTTACATCAAGGGTTGCAAAATCTATTGGCCAACTTTAGGTCCATGTGGCTATCCTTCAAACCACATCCTCCACTGACTGTTAGAAGCTTGCCACTCCGTTGTGTTTATTATTGAACCTCTTGTCAAGATAATGTAAAGATGGATGACAGAATGACAAGACTAATTAAGTGACAATACTTGAAAATATTCTGTTATTCAATGGGTTATCAAAGCATAGATCATCAAATAGTGCTCACAAATTACAGGCCCAAAACGTGCCGAACAGCCTCCCGTGTAAACTTTTTTTGGACTAACCCCAACGAAGGATTTTGGTCATGCCAACACCTGATGACCATTGAGGCTGAGCCCACTAGACGCACGTTGAGTAACTAACATGCATCCTGTAGGCACTAACAGTCGTCATTTCACAAGGAGGTTCGGATAACATATGTAGCTGCATGAAGTGCAGAAATTTAATGCTGGTATAATGAATGATTAACATTTACAGTTCAATGTTGCAAACTGAAACTATATCTGCAAACACCTTTATGCACAACTCGCTTTCTTAACACACAAGGACAACTAATATACACTTCGCTAGTGTTCGTAGATATCGAAAATGAATGATATGAATATATGTAACTGGGAAGCCTAGTAAAGAGGGACCTTGCCCCTCCATTCTAAACAGCAATCTAATGTAATGGCAAAGGGGCTATCAAATCCAAACGTAACTCAATGCAACGATCCATCACTGCTACACTTCGTGAAGTGTCAGCGTCAGTTCTCGACCTTGATCAACACTAGTGGCTGAGAGAATGCTGGCCAAGCTTGTAAACCATGATGAATACCTAGTCGTCAAGCCGTGTATTTCAGATGTACACGAAATTTTAATCACACTACATAAGAGGGATGTAGGTGCCGCCATGACCTTTTCGTAGAATCAATGGGCCAGCAGAATCTGGCACTTTATCCAGGGCTTGCATGCCAGCATCGACAATATCAGAGAACCCAGTCGCAACGATGGCCAGCTGGACACACGACCTAATATCTCGCACTAGTTTTAGAAGGAACCTCATGGACTTGGCCAAATAGGTCGAGCCACACGGAGGAGTTCCGCCTGGAGTCAACCACTTGGAATAATGGTCCAAGTGATCGCCTCGTGCAGAGACCTCCGCGCGATAGAACCGGGCCAACTCCATAAGCATGCTGAATGGGAGAGGGAGAAACTCAACAAAATCCGATAAATATTGATCAATGCGACCTGGCTGTAGCATCTGATTCCATAATACAGGCACCCATTCTTCTGTTTGGTTAAGATCATACGCTTTGGCCACAATGAGAGCTTCTTCAAAGCGGGGCCGTTCAACAAGCCGGCGCCTTGCATTGGTCTCGGACAAATTAAGCCATGTTAACTCAGGCATTCGCAATTGAAGAGATAATAATGATGCTTGTGCACAACACATACTGGTATTCATACCTGCAAATAGAGTGTCTACAGTTGAGTACAAGGGTAGTTAATCAAACCAATGTAATGCAAATGTTCAATTCTCAATTTCATTCAAATACTAGGATTAGTATACGTACCAGCAGAAATGTTTGAAAATGCTTCTGCAGCCTCCACGTACAAGCGCATAGATTCCAGCACATCTTCACCATATTCAGGGTCAGCAGGATCTACCCATTTCTCCACGGACTTGCGTGCTCGGAGTAGCAATAAAATTGCCATTTCCTGTGGCATGTTGAAATGATTATACACCTGTGTTCCCCATCCAACAAGTTCCATACCATACAAGTTAAAAGACTTCAAAAAGGACTAGCGCATACAGCTCGAAAAGAATTATGTATCCATGCTGTCCATAATAACAGATCCCGGATCCACAAAGACTCTAAAATTCTTGCTGTGGAGAGGAGTGTATAACCATCCTCTGCATTTACATACCAAAGAGGGTAAAAGAAGGTAACGATTGCAAAGCTCCTTGCTAAACAGTCACTGCTCAACGAGAGCACGCACCTGCATCAAGGCATCCTGGTCATTGACATTGAAGCGCTTGAGAGCTGCGAGAACAGCCATGCAGAATCCACGAACAGATAATGGCGAAGCTTCTATGGCCGGATCAAAAAAAGGCTTCTTCTGAAGAAGAAGCTGCAGAGAACCATGCTCGATTAATACATCAAGTATAAATCGGAGTCTGTGAAAGTTGCTGACACCCGTGACAAGCCGTGCTATAAGAGCAAATTCACCTTCAACCACGTATAGATCCACACGTGTAGAAACCAATGAAACTAAAACATCAATTCCGTCTAAGCATGCAGACAATTCGTAATAGTGATGGGCCAAGATAATGAGTTCCACCTGCACCATCATTCACCCAGGTTATCAGCATCGCGTATACCTCAACAAGCCTATTTCAGCGATCAAGGTAATGGGTGTGGTATAAGTCATTAGTACGGCATCAATCCTCGACCAAAAAAGGACATGCTAGCTCTTATATAAAAGGAATAGATCAGCTGCATGATGTGCTTGAACAGAATAGGTTAGCCATTTCCAAATACCTCGCACGAGTGTGGAATGTCACGGCCACTAATGACCAGGCGCATTAGTGCATGTCCGATTTCAGATTCAACTGGACAGAGCTCAGCCCACGCTTTGAAGTCGGAGGACCTCCATAGCAGCGGCGCTGGTCCCTCTTCTCTGAATGAAGACTCCATAAAACCTCCACGATGTGCTGCCAAAAGTCCCTAAATCCCAGAAACAAAGACTCTATTGAGTAGCTTGCAGACATTGCTGGACCTTCATAAGAATCACACTGCAAAAATAGGGAGGTGGGGTGCTATCTAGGAGCATTGGAGTGTTACCAAGTTACCTTTAGATGAGATTCCGCTAAGATTCTCGCGATGGCTGGGGCTGGCATTGAGTGAGTATCCACTAGCAGTTTAGCCTCGGAAAACGCTTCTTTTCCCTTTAGCGAGAGGAGCTGCAGTAGCTCAGGAGGTGTCTTCGAAGATGCTTCTGTAAAAGTAAGGCCCAAGAAATGGCTGATCTGAGCCACTGCAGCTATCCTTCGGCAATGTCCACGTCCACAACCTTCTCGACAAGCATTCGTCAATGCGTTCAAGACCTATATTTTCACCAAATTCGAAGTTGTTGAGGTGTAAAGTATCTGATATCACACCACATTAACATCTAACATTCATGCATGGAGTAGGAAAGACATTGGCATAAATGTGGGTGATATGTACCTGCATGGGAGTAACTGAAGCATAATTATCAAAGAATTTGGTAGAAAGTAAACATTCTACTACTGTAGGATGCAAGAATGCAGGCACCGCAGACCACTTCGCTGTTGGCATAGACAAGGTTGCAATCTTTTGAGCGGCTTCAACAAGAAGAAGCTCCAGAGGTACATGAGTAGGGGCCAACTTTAGCTGCAACTGTCTAGCTGCTGGAACCTGGCCAACTTCCACCAAAGCTAAAACCGCTCTTTCCACCTCTCCCTCTCCAACCCGTTCTTCCCATCCTCTTGTTTCTTCATCCGGCGTTGAAGAGTTGTCCTCTGCAAGGTTAATTTGGGCATCGTTAATTTGGGTGCCCCTTATTTGACCTTGAACAACTGAAAGGCTGTGATGCCTGTTGAGAACCTCTCTGTCGTCGCTACTATTGAAGCGATTGAAACTTTCGGGGCGATCGAAACTGTTGCGCCGATCAAGACTATCTCTTTTAGTTTCTTCCGGAGAACTAGGAGCACCGTTCTCCGTGTTATCCAATTGCGTACGTCTCAACTGCTTGGTTCGACGCTTCATCCGTGCAACTGACCCACCCCGGGAGCTACTGACTTCCTCAGTTTGAACACTTCGAGAACGAACCAGCTTACGTCCATTGTCGTCTGCTGAACTTTCAATCTGCGACCTTGTGTTCGGCTTTCTTAGGTGACTGTCAACAGCTGCAACAGCATTTGCTGTAAGGTCCACAGGATTCCCAGAACCAGGTTCCCCATTCCGAAGTCCAATGGTGCTGCGCGCCTTAGACCGTCCTAAGAGAACAGTTTCCTGATCTCTACTAGTTTGTGCCTCTACTTTTGCTTCAACTGCAAGAAGCCATACTCGGATCTCTAGCTCATGTAACAGGTGTAACGGATAAACTCTGCCAACAAAAAACAGTTACACGTGAGCATATTTCCAACTTACATTTGACTGATCCTCAATACCAAATAATTCAAACTCGCATTGTGAGAACATGGAAATTTGGAAATTTGACATCGAGAACTGGAACTCAAGTACAACATTAAAAAGAAGAAAAACAAGGTACAAAACACTCCAAAGCTTCAGACGCATAACATCCTCGTAGCTTATTTTGTTACCTCCCGAAAGGCATAGGACAAGCTGCAGAATAAATGCATGTTAATCACGATACAAAGAAAGTGAAACAGGAAGAATGTTTACGGCGAGGAATCGTTAAACGAGCCACTAAGCCACTGGAGGGCCAGCAAGAGAATACTGTGTAATTCCGATGTTGGAACCTGCCCCTCCACTGCATTTGCATGTTTCAGGTAGAACAACCCTGCCTGTTTTCATAATGCCCATCATTTCCATCAGTTCTAATAGGTAAACGTACCAGTTAAAAACCTAAAACATTTCTGACTAATATTCAATTTTCTGCTCAAAGTTGCACTATTGGCAGCATCACTTGATAACGAACAAAGTATCAACCTGTAACGAAGGATAAGAGTGCCTCATGAAAAGTGCTTGGCAGTGGCTCCAAAGTGCTGCACGCTCCTCTGGGACATCCCACAGCAACTCCTTCCACTCCTCGACCATTGCTTCTGCCTGTCAGGCGAGCATAGCAAATCTTAGTATACAGTCTATTATGATGAGAAAAGAAGTACAATCAGAGTTGCTCACATAAATTAAAGGACACACTGGAAGCAACTGCACTCGACAATTATTGAATTCAAACACCAAAAGGAAGAGAAGGAACAGAAAAAGAACACGTTATTCAAAAATCTCAAAACAAAAAATTTCAACTTAGTTACTAGGATTGATAACTCCGCAAGACATGGCATGCAAGAAATATGCTTCAGGAATTGTGGCCCGGGAAGAAAAGTAACATGAAGATCTCCCTAATATTTCGCATTTGGCGAAGTTACTCACTTGAGTTTCAGTCACATGATGAAAAGCAGATCTAGTGTGTTGTGAGCTGAGATCCAACTGTCCTGCCCAACTTCGGGATTCCTCCCACTGGCCATTCTTCTCCAACTCCTGAAGCAATGCATCGTCATCAAGATTCTTTGCATCAGCCAACGAGCCCGACCTTGAACGAAGAGAAGGCTCTGCTAGTTGCATCTTCCAATACAGTTTGCGGAACCGAATGGCTGCTGAGCCTCCATCCCCAAAATCTGCAGCTGAAAGTAGTTGGAGGAGGCAACGGTGCTCATACGGCGAAGGACATGAATCCAACATGGCATCTGCTGCTGCCACCGCCGCTGCTGTGATCCACATTGTGTTACTCTTCGTACTTCTAGTATGCTGGCTGTGTTGTTTGCGCTGATCCTCTTTAAGACAATGTGAGAAGGATGCTAGTTGAGCTCCAGCATCAGAGATACGCATCTGTGCAAAAGCCTGTGTTCAAAGTTCCCCATATATAAACAATTTGCTTAACCAGGACAACAGCAATTTTCTTATTTCTGTGTCAAGAATTACATCTGCACATACAAGAAATAAATCCTTATCCGAAAGATTTTTATCATCTCGTTCTCACAATGAGTGATACATCTTTAGGGGTGTCTTTTCAACATATAAACTTCTTATTCGGCAGGATGGAACTCTTAATAGCCTCGTGAATTATGTACTATGCTCTGAAGCCTATATTTCAGAGGTTGCAGGTGAAAATATTTTACTCAGGAAAGTTAATTGAATTAAAGGTGTAAGTAGAACATTATGGTAAACGATGAACATTTTGATCTGACCTGCAAGAAGCAGATAAATGGCAGAAGCGGAGACGAAGGAGTAAATAACTCAAAGGCTCGAAGCAGGGGCACAAAACGCTGCTGCTCACATAGTACAGCCACCATAGCTGCCAGAGATTCCTGTTCTTCTGCTGCACTTGGCACATAGAGGGTAATTTTCTTACTTTTCTGTCTTGCATCAACCTCTTGTACCATATTAGAAGTAGTACGTCTAAGCGATACCTCCGAAGGACCTATATCAGCTTTCTGATCTTTCGATATTGTCGTTACATCCTTTGGTGACATAGAACGTTGCTTCTTTGGATAGCTCCAGTCATAACCAAATACGCAGGTATTCCTGTCAAGTTGAGCATTTGTTGCCTCCACAGCAGCTCCTACAGATGCAGAAACTTGACTAAATACATCATTCACCTGGATAACTGTAGTTTCCCTGTCAAAAAAAAAAAAAAAAAAAAAAAAAAAAAACACGCGTTCAAGTGAAAAAGGTAGACATATATATTCGTCAACTCGCTCGCAAAAGTAATTATAGGAATGCTTGATTCAAGGTGGAACCTAATTCTGCTATGAAGGTAGATTTCCAACTCTGCTGGGAAATGTATGGGATTTGTACGCATTAGAAATGTTTGCGAGACGTCCAGAAAAAGTTGAGTAACTAGATGACAAGATATCGAAATAAATAAATCCATAAATAGGAACAGGCTTAAGAACCAGAGCTTGATAAGGAGGAATAAAGTAATAGACAAAGATTGCACTTTAGAAGATACCTGGCAGCTGTTAATTCCAGCCATGTTGTTAAGCAAGACAAGGGGGTCACATCAGCAAAACATGACGCCACAACAGCGAGCAATGGCCATCGTAAAACTTTGGCTCTACCCAAGAGTTCTCGACCCGGTTGCTTTTCTGTCTCACACTCTGCCAATAGAGAAAATAATTCTCCTGGCGCTCCATTCTCAAATGCATCCGGCGATTCACCTGTTGAACCGATAAATAATGTGCAAAGGATCACTGCTATTGAAGATGAATGCATCCCAGGCAATCGACCAATCAGATTATAGCCGATATCACTATTTCTCGAGACAGACACCACACTTCGCGAGCAGGGATATCCGGACCACCCACAGTTAAGAATCAGTAACTGGAAGCGTCACATTTAACTATATGATGGGTCACCAACCTGACGAAAAGTGAGAAACATTCGAATGCGGTGTTAATGGTTTTGGTGAAGCCGGCGTTAGAAATTTCAGGACAGTCAAGATGTGGCTTCGTAGACGCAAATCGGAAAACTCCTTGGATGCCTGCCCAAGATAAACGAGATAGATCGACAAGTCGGACAGGTAGGAATCAATGCTACAAGACTAACGACAATAAAGAAAAAAACATCTGAAGACAATTCAAAGTGACGTTAAATAACAAAGGTGAATGGCATGTATGACAAAAAAATAATTACATAAATGTATACAACCAAATTCACTGCTTCAACAGGCACTCAATAATAACGTGAGCAGAATAAGTTGAAGACGATTTACCACACTAATAAGAACAGTTGAAGGGCAGCTTTCAAGTTGAGCCTCTGCTAAAAATCCAACCTGTCATATCAAAAGAATTGTTAGCCGACCTTTGCCTACTCCAATCGCTAAACAGATTTACTTTAGAAATAACTCTACGTATGAATGGTAAATAGCAACATGTGAGTCACCTAAAAAGCAAAGGACATGATTACCCAATCATTGCATCTAGCTATCGTTGCCAGGTAAGTGGTACTAATAGGAAGCTGATGGCCACGACAGAAAGCTGTCACAAGACTCCATCGCTCACTCATAGATCGTTGCACAGTTCTTAACTCAGCACCATCACCAACTCCGTTCATGAGCCAAGCACCGGCATTGCTCTCCAGCTTCTTTAAACCATCGTGGTTCAAACTTGAATTCTCAAGTAGCTGCAATATGGCCATGACCGGCTTTCGAGGCCTTGAATTTAACAATCCTTTGCCACTAAGTATTCCAATGCCAATAGCAGTGTACTCCTCAGTAAGACCTTGAACTAAGGACCTCATCAAATCGGTTCTAGCATCTTTATCAGCTGCAGTCTCGTTCAACCCCGTATTTAGGCTACCTTCCTTATGCTGTTGGTCTCTGATATAGAGCGATATTCGACTAAGGGCTGCAACATCCACTTGCAGCAGTTGTGCCGAAAGCCCACAAAGCTCTAGGAAGGATACGCAAGCGGCCACTACGATGATGTTTTCAAAGTTTAGGATTGCTAGTGAAAGTACCTGCAGGTATAGTTCGGGTCAGAAAATATATAAACTATTTCAATGATAATCACTGCATATAGGAAGACAAAACTAAATACGATAGTTCTGTGAGTTAATCAATAAGGTATTAGATAGCTCAGTGTCTTACTCCCCATGTCAGCACCAAAATGATATCATAACGCATTTTCTCCGCAACCACAGAAGGAACCAAGCAATCCAATAGCATAACTGGAGATGTAGAGAAAAAATTGACGTACTGAAGTAATGAGAGACTCCTCAGTCTCTGTTATATTTGATAAAATACTTTGAGGATCGTAGGAAGACTGTCGACCTGGCTGTGGATTGAAGGAGCCTGATTTATGAGCCCGCAAGGAGAGTAGCGAGCTGAAAGCTGCTAGAGGACGACCCCTTCGAAGATAATGCTCAACATCCATACCAGCCTCCTGCGCTTCAAGAAAGTACAATCAAAGAGAAGTGCGTAAATAAGGTTTTCACCCATGCCACCTAACGAACGCACAAATAATCCTGCTCAAAATTCAACGAGAAAAAAATGTCTATTCGCCCTGAAATGTTATGAAATCACCAATGTTGATAAACTTGAGTGCGATACTCTATAGCCTCCTTTAGTGTACGTCTTGCAAATTTTCAGTGATACTGGATTTAAAGGTCGGAGGTGTCCACTGCTATCTAATATTAGAGCAATTGAGGTGTCAATACCTTTATTATGTGAATAACAAAGACCCATATTCAACAAGTTCAAAATGAATTCACATTATAAGTCAGAATTCAAACTTACCTCTGGAGAGACAGCATACAGTTCTTCCTTAATAGTCATCTGGGTTGAGTGCTCCCAGTCTGAAATGTGAGCTTCTTCCATCTCGACATCTGCTCTTCGAACTACACGCTCTCTGAGAGCTGTATCTGGTATAGCTCTAAGTGTTATCTCACTTGTCTGTGGCATAGCCACTTGAGTTTTCCCAACAGCTCCCTGCTTCCAGTGAAAAAGCCATTTTATAAGTCACAACATGTGTAAGGGTGGCACTCCTGGTGAAGAACTTTAATAATGCAGTAGCATAGAAATGCATTAAAGCTGAACTAAATTTAAAGTAAGAAAATAGAAATGGGTTAAAACTACAGCGTCAGGTCAAATTTTATCAATAGAAACCTGAAAAGCCAGCTGAATAAGACGGCGAACACTTGTTGGCAACCAATGAGGCATTATTTCTATAAGCGACACATCTTCCGCTGCAGATTTGAAAATAGTTCCTCGCCACTCCAAGTAACCAGACAAACCTTTCATCCTTCCTCCTTCATTTTCATTCCATAAAGCACGAATCAGATACATACATACGTACAAAAATAAATTAAAAAATCAATAAAATGAAATAAAATACAAGCAAAACAGCATCCAATGATCTAGCTTCATTAGTAAGAAATGTACAAGAAACTGACAGATACTCAAACATATCACCATACGTTCTTGAGAAGCTGATAACTAAATAATTAATTACCTATTTTGGGTCCAAGTGGCCGAACAAAACTCCATGCATCGTGTCCATAACATGCGGCGACCAGGGTATGCCACACAGTGGGGAAACGTTGAAGCCCAGGTTGAAGATCCACCGTGAAACACTGCCATGGGCGGAGTTCCTGCCTGTTCACACTGCCCAATCCTAAACACTTTTGAATAGGCAGGGGCCCATACATTAAAGTTGAAACTGCCACTATTTCTCTATTTGGTAATAAATTGCCTTCTTCCATCATAGATTTCAATTGGCCACCAACTCCTAACCCGTGGTTAGGTACTAAATTTTTCCTGGAGATAGTGAGAGCATTCGCGACAGAGGCATCATACTCCCGTCCTTTCAAACGCGAGAGAAGAAGCCACTGTGCCCAGTTGCAATTGCCCTACGCTCATGACAGTAAATTGTCAAATTAATATTGCCTTTCTTTACAGAATATGGCACATTCTAGATGTCATCCGCCACCTCATTGTACTTGACAAATGAGCACAAAATATGCATGTTAAACATTTAGGAACATCAAGTAGATGAGGTTATAAATAGAACATTACCACAGCAGACTGCATGGCAGCTACAGATCCTTTATCGAGAGCTAAGGAGTGGTAATTCAAGTATCGCTCCAAGAGATTGATGAGTGAATACTTCACACAATGCCGAACCACAAGTTCATGTAGTGCTCTCAGAGTGTCTTTGTGAAAAGTTTCCTTTCTAGGAACGCCCAGTACAGGTGATGATTGTTTACAACTGGTGCTGGACGGCTTCCCAGAACTGCGTTGGTAAACCAATTCAGCAGATGCTAGCAACGAAACCAGTTCTAAAGTCCCTTGCCAATGTGTGCGTAAAAATATATGGCTTCTAATAAGCTTCACTTCCATCATATGCCATAACCAAGCGCTGCACATGGACCGCATGTTGATACTCAAAATATGTACCTTGGGTACACAACGCATAATTTCTTCAAAATGTGGTGCTCTTGGTGATTGCTCATCAGCTGAATCCAGATCCGGATGTTTAACTTCATCGTGGAGATATTCAACATCCTCGTCTGCATCAAGATGAATTCGTAATTCGTCGTCGTCAAGAACAGAATAAGGGATGTCGTCCAGTAAGGCCGAGACCTGGGGCCAGTCGTTGTGCACCACATGGTATTCCAGCTGGGCACCCCAAGATTTATGTTCTCCAGTGTCCAGCGACTGGTCCAATACTACCTGTCAAATAAAACTCACATTCTCAGCCAGAACTCTCCACGAAGTAAAAAGTGACCAAAAGTCTAGGACCTAGTCAATGTGTGTGTTGTATTAAAGATATGATACATGGATTACACAAACAGATTGTTGTAAAACCTACACAAAGCGAAACCTGTTAAAAAGGCACTTTATTAGAAGTTGCAAAGTTTGGCTCGTTGACATATAGGATCATTCGACCGGTGTAGAAAGGAGATGACACTGACCCGGCCTACAGTCACCTCGTCCCAAACGTGCAACCACACAGCAGCCGTTACCAGGTACCCTGCAGCTGGGTTCACTTGCTCCGCACCTGCAGCATCTAAAGCTTCAGGATCTGCTTCATAATCCCATGACCCCAGGACCACTCCATCAACTTCTCCACACTGTAGAGTAAATGGGCTAACTGCTCCGCTGCCGCAGATTAATTGTAATAGTTCACAATCTTCCTCATTCGACGAAGGCTCCTCTACAGTATGGCTACTAGACTTCACCCTCTTAAGACGGTACGTGCTCCAAAAACTGCTGTTAGGATAGAGATTCTGTCAAATAAAAAGCCACTACATTCAGCTCAGCAAGTTAAACCAGATAATGTTTAAAACAAACATTTTATGCCAAAGTTATCAAAAGTTTACTTGAATATATAACACCTACTAACTCACCCGTACAGCTTTAGAAGATATTAACAAGCTAAAAATGACAAGAAAACCTGGTACCTCTAAAAATAAAACGATTTCAAGCAGTTGGGAGTCCCGAGAACCCAGACGATTAGAACTGCGCCGTAACTCTGTCCTCATTTGCTTCCGAAGACCACGCCTCACAGTTCCAAATGCCAACTCATAATGAGCAACATCAATCTCCTCTCCTAATCTTCGCAACGCTGCCATTGCCAGTGCTGTTTTGCCCTGCACCAGGCAAAGCCATAAATATGTAGTTAGTGCCACACACTGTTTACAACAACAGTTATCAAACACATGAAATGGTCACTACGAAGTGTTTCTAGGCTACTGTTAACACATGTATACCTTGCACAGCAACTCGTATACAATCCCTCGGCCAATTTTCTGTACATCCTGAAACACATCAATCATCTGGGGTCGCTGCGTTTGAGGACCGTTCAAGAACTCTCTAGACCGGATTTTATGTAGCTGTACAACAGCCAGGGGAACACGTCCAGCCCGCAATGCATCTCGCACTATATTTTCAGCATCAACATCCTCATTTTCCCAACGAGCAAACATTTCCGCCGCACTTTCAACAGTTGATCCTCGTTTAGGCTTTCCATCAAAGGGACCACCGATAGAGACACCCCAAGAACCTCCTGAACTATGGAATGTTCCTGTAGGCACCAAGGCACTTGAAGCGACACTATCTTGAGAGCCCAGAAGCACTTTGAGTTGCTCCTCCCTACTGGTAATTATATTCTCTGCTTCAACACTTTGCACAGCATTTTCAGGAGGAAATTCGATGATAGGTTTCGTTTTACTCTGTAAATCGACTGATGATCCAAATGCTTCGTTGCTCGCATCAGCCTGCTCAAGCACAAAAATAAGTCAGCACCCGAATTGTCATAAGACCATACGAATCATAGTCATCACATCAACTTCAAGAAGCAAATGTAAAGGAAAAATTGTTGCAGAACATGGAGATGAGTAACACGTAAGGTATGATCGTCTTTCGTTAATGTCTATTATTATGCAAAAGTGGATGACGTGGCGAGCGGCTAATACATCATACTCCTAGGAGTACGCATAATGTTCAGTCAGTGCAGACAGTGACTAAGAAACATATTGCAGAGCCAGTCAATTCAATGACAAAGGGCTCGGTGAACTTGGTCTAAAATTTAGCAATATCCAACACATTCCAGTATCAACATGTTCCTCGAAGGTCCGAATTCCAATTAAAAAAGACAGAATACCTTGGCACCTCGACTTGGTCCGTTGCGTTTAGCTTGTAATCGGTCCTGAACACTTCGGATCACTTCAAGCAGTCGAGCAAGATCGCTGACATGACCTACAGGCTTGGAATCAGACAGGTCCTTGTATGGGAAATGTGCGGAGGACGTAGAAACTATCGTTTTATTTGACCTAGAATGCTGCCGCTGCCAAAGCCCATGAGAGCGAATAAGCCTTGTTGAGAATCTAGCTGCCAGTTCAAGAAGCCTGCAATAATCACAGCCCAAATCGACATGCTACTTGTAGCAACTATCAGCACGAACACGCTCGCAACAATGATGGAACATGTTTGTTGCATAGAAGGTAAAGCACACGTCAAACTAAAGAGCTGACATCCCCGCCAAGACTACCACTTCTGAAGATTTATCTTTCACTGGTAATAATCTGCATTAATCATAGTTCTTTTTAAAGGCAGTCATAATGCGCAAACTTTTACTCTGTACATCGCGATTATCTCTAACAGATCTTCAACAATAAGGACACATATTATCATTCTAAAACATGCTAGTTACAAAGATTACTAGTTCACAGTTGGTAGCCAGATTCTCAACATGGCCAAAGAAAAAAAGTACACCTGCAGGCTTGTGCAAGCTCATTATCAGACCCAAAAGAATCAGCCATTAGTTCAACAGCACCAAGCAGCACTTGTGGTATCCCGGCTTCCGCAGCCCCGACCAGCACGAGTGCCTCCAATGACCTGATTCACACATTTTAAGTAATTGTTAAGGTGCTTAAGAACTCCGACTTACAATAGACTAGTAAAGCTCCAATCCTTGAGGAGGGAGACTTAACAAATCAGTCTTTGTATCACGGCAATGCAAGGCAAATTCACATACTCCTTGCTTATTGTGACAGAAAACCAACAAAAAAACTAAGACAATAGAACCTCCGTAAGAGATGGTTGTTAAAGAGACCAGGAGAACAACGGGAAAAGAAGAGAACAACAAAGGAAAATCCAAAAAAAAAGATGCATGAAAGCTTAAGAAAGTTTTCCACACTTGAAATGCAACATAAAAACAACCGAACGTTTATTCATATAAAACCTGGGAAGGTATATCACAAAGTGAGAGTTCTTACTGCTCCACTTCATCCACTTTAACATAGTTCAGAGCAAGTTGCAATCTCCGTAACCTCATAAGCTGTATACTCCATCCTAGAAAACACATATTCGTGGTTGAGAACCAAAAAAGTTTCACAGATTAAAACCAGGTGGTTCAAGGTGAACAAATTCATAGCCCATATGCAATAATGAGCTTCAATGAGAATGACGTATCCTTCACAGTGCGTGAAAGCCGACTTGTGAGAATGAACTGTAAAATATACACACTAACTGAAGAAGCTGTCTGCTAATCAATTCAAAGCCCAAAGACCTCAAAACGGCGACAGAGGATATTGATTCCCGAATAACCGATGAAGAATTTCATTTCAAAATTAAGTAGGGAATGTAAAGAATTGAAAGTATGTTAGAAATACCCCAACGAAGAAATTTGAAAGTAGAAAGAGTAAGTGGTTATGTCGAAGAAAATAAGCATCTCAAGAAGTAAAGATTCAGTGTCTTCCTACTTCGCTTACATTCGGGTCAACAAATTGCAACTTAGCCATACTGTGATGTGAGTATTTAGTGCACCTGTGATCTGATATTTGAACTGATTGGACTTTAATTCACAATGGAAAAGGAGGATTCCAATCAGTCCAGATGAAGTACTTTATAACCAGTTCTCGTGAAGCACAACATGTGGAATAGATGAAATTGAAGCTCTTGTGTTTCCAACACTGGTGTGCACATACAAACCAGCCACATCCACTAAAGAATCCAGGGAAGAGCGAGGCGGCCAGAAAAATAACAGTCAAATAAATAACTCTAGCTTACCATCCTGCCCAAGTTCTTATGCCCGCTCACACAGGTCAGGCCGGACAGTAGCAAATATTTGATTACGGAAGTTTTTTATATATTCTAAAATAGGCCTTAGAACTAGTACTAATTGCTCGGATGGAACGTGGTATATAGACCTAGATCTGATGTCCCTTTTCCGAACTGAAATTGTCTCAGTATTTGATTACTATTAAATTTCACATGATTGTGAGTTTATGGGGATTATCAGGAGTGCTAAACTGAATCGTGAATTAAAAAAAGTCGTATGCGATTCACATAGCAATCCTCACAAACGGTTCGTAATACAACACAATATCACAGCTTCAAGCCAGATTCTGTTGAAGAAAAGTTAGTTTGAATCGAAATGCTCACCATTCTCTAGGCACAATTGTTCTGTCTCCTTCAAACTGTTGAAGATAATACACCTGTCCAACACTTCTGTTTGCCATTGCCGAGTAACAAGTTTGCGGCTTTCAAAAGGCAACAAACAGTCCCATTTACTTGACACATCTTTCCTTCCCACTTCATTATACCACTTGGAACCTGATAATTGACGCTGCCGGCTTGCCAAAGGAGGAAGTACCACATGTAGGCCCGTTTGAGATACAATGTATAGGCACCCTTGAAAGCTGAAAGTTAAAACATTACCAATGGAGGATTTACTGACAGTTCTAGAAAATCCTTCACTGTCGTTCAATTCAGCTTCATCTAGTTGCCTGTGCCCTACATACAACCCATTTTGTAATAAAATGAACCCTTCGGAAGTATTGGCTGAGGCACACGTGATGCTGTATGGATTCAAAGCCATCCCAAGAAAACCACTTGAAGGCCTGTTGGGCACGAATAATTTTCGCAGGAGCTGCAATGAATGGGCAAAGCCTACTCCTCGGATCTGATATTGGTGAACACGGTCCTTGGTTGTAAACCCACTTGCTCCCAATGGACAGTTGCTAGAATTATTTATCCCAAAGGAAGGCAAAGATGTGCGACCCCCACGCTTGGTGGAAGTCGTAGCGCAAGAATTTCCACCCTCAAACGACAAATTAATCCAATTTCGGTTTGCTACAGCACTCTCATATTTCACACCACCAATATCTGATCCTGCTACTTCGTAGCCGGACAATGGCTTCAAATCATAGCACTCAGCACCTCGGTTCCCACGAGTTCCTGACGAAATGAAAGCCTCGCTTGCAAAGTAATCGTCAGTGGAGACCAAAGAAACGATACCCTTAGCATCACAGACAGCTAATAATAAGCAGTCAGCAGTCGCCGTGAGTTGGTAGAATCGGTTCTTAGCTCCAATATCAGAACCTCTGGCAGTTGTAGAAGTCTTAGTCTTCTCTTGAGATGCAAAAACCTCACTTGTGCCATGTTTAGGATCTTGGTCTACTTCTCCAGATGGCGCCTTCAAGGTCTCCTTCCCGATTTCTTCCTTTAAATCAACATTACAGAACTGTGGGACATCAATTTGTGTAATAAAACTTCCTGTAAAAGAGTTCCATAAAAATACTCTTCCATCTTCTTTTAAAGCTAAAAAAACCCTGTCTGATAATTGAAAATCTGTCCATGATACAACCTCTGCGAGCCCTGCTTTTGTGTCACGCGAATCAATGCGCGAAAGGACCTTCAAATCCTGACAATAAACCCCTGTAACTACGACACTGAAGTTATCGAGAAATTTGACTCGTCCCATAGTTGATTGAGCTGCATGTTTTTCCTCCGCCGCTATCTCAGCTTCGCAAATGAGCTCTGCGAACTTCTCCACCATTAGCAGTGCAACAAGATTCTGGGCAGGGTTAGACAGCAACCTTGCAATCTGTAAGTCCTTCTCTTCTGCACCGCTTCCAGTCACTCCTGAAAACTGTTCAACTTGAGTGCTTGTTTGTCCAAACTTGCTAAGAAGTGAAAATGAAGAAGACGTATAAGGTAAAGAGAATGAGATACACTTGGCTGACGTAGGCCAAGGATAATGTTTGAGGAACTGCAAGTGCAAACCACCCTTAAAATGCTCGAGTTGCCCGTCCACAACAAAGGACTGAAATGAAGACCCGCCATTTACGCCGACGTCCGCCACCGCTTCTTTACTCCTTGAGTCGTCTTTGTTAGTATTGTTCTCGTCTGGGAAGGATAGCTTCCTCTTTCCACGATCGTCGACAGAATCTGTGTGTCCCTCATGTTCTCTCCAGATCCGCCATTTGCCATTCCTTTCACCATCTTCACATTCCTTCGTATCCTCTAATGATTGTCCATCACTTCCGCATATGTTGTCCAACATGCTACCTACACCATCATTATTATTACAGAAGGCATGAAGTATCAAACCCTCACTCCCTGCAGTAAAAAGAATGTCTTTAAACGGTTCAGTTTCTAAATTCGCAGCAAAGTCGTCCCCACAGTATGCCCAAGTGAAGCAGTCAATGTTATCAATAACATAGAAAGAAGAAGAAACCTTGACCGGTTCATTGGACTCCGCAACAAAACCCGACTCCGCAGTTTCTTGGGAAGTCTGCGAGGAAGAACAAAGAGGAGTGGAAGCAATAGGGGTGAAGTACGGGGTTGCTGTGTAAGGCGGAAAAACGGAATTTTCATGAACTGTATTAGACGACCGCCTTGAAATAAATGTAGGAGTTCTGTAAGGCGTGGACTGTGAGCCTCCCAATGAAAACCGGAACTCGGAAGACGGAGGGACCTTTGATTCATGGTTCTCGGAATATAATAGCTGCTGAGGGGTGAAGGGAGCTTCAGTATGTGCGACTGCGGAATAATCTTCAGAAAATCCATTGGATGGGGATGCTGGGGGTGACAAGGTGTGTGGCAGAGAGGACGCCACTGACTCCGAACGCAAAGTAGTTTCCCCGTCTTTCCTGCTAACCAGAGGTACAATTACTGCTTGTTGCTTGTAGGAAAGAAGAGCAAGGCGTGATTGGGAGGATGAGAGAGCGCCAAGCTTGAAGAGGGAAACAGGAAGTGGGGTGCTGGCCCAATTGCAAAGTCTGAGAAAGGCTATTGGGCCTTCCTCCTCGAACTGCAGTCGTTCCAGCTGACCCATTGGCACACCAAGGTGTGGGATCAATGGAATCACACTGACATTCGAGCCGGACTATCAGACTCCGGAACATAGGAATGCTGTGAGGAAATAAAACATCCGCGTATGCGCTGTCTGTCATCAGTTCCTAAAATATAGAAAAGTCACGCTCTGCACGCTAATCAAGCGACAGAAATTGGTTAGAACTAGTACCAAGCTCCAGTTATAAGAGAAGCTGCATCTCATAGAAATGGAATATTGAATTGGTGTGTTCGCAAGCGAAGTACTGGAGAAGAGCATTGTGCATCAAAATACTCATATCAGTCTAAGCTAAGTTGTTCTAGATAGAAAACGGGTCCGGGAAGGTATTTAAGTACTTTATCAAATCATAGACTAGAAAAGTTATCAGAGGTGATTAATATGAGTGAAACATTGTCTTCACAATTTTTCAACACTGGCGATTTGCAAATGACACAACTACTAAACTGAACGTCAACACCGAATTCCAAGCAATCCTGACGTCCAAGTAACCTTGACAGTGCCGACTACCACTACCCGCTACAACTGAAGCTCTGAGAAGAAATTCAGTAAAACTATACGGAGGATGATCCCAAAAATTACTGAGCGCATATATTCGTACTCACATATTCAAAGAACTCAGAGAAGGTGTGGTTCGTTATCGTTACGATATCCCAAATTCCAAGGGTTTGCCCTCAATCTCAAATACCTTCACGTATTCTAACAAGCGTTTTACATAAACTAAGGAACAGCCCGCGAAGATATCTTATACAAACTCCCATAATTTATACCTCTCCACAGGAATGTGAGATTAGAAAGAAAAGAACGCCTCATTGCCTTCAAAATGAAAAACCTAGGGACTGCGTTTGTACAACAAGTCGATCATTCCCCTCCAGAAACATCCAATCAGCGCACCAAGCTCAAAATCGGATCCCAACACAGGAAATGACAATACTAACTCACCTCCAGACACAAAATCATCATGATAAGAACCCAGCGACGAGATCCAATCGCTATCCAACGACAACTGATCAACTCTGCGCACACACGCCGATGAAAATTTTTGAAGCTTGCATTCCCCGCAATCTGTAACGATCTCCCAAAATCCACTACCGTCCGAACCTTGTCCAGTTTTTGTAAATCATCTCATTGGTGACGATAAACAATCTACCGCAATGAGCTCGATGAAGGACATGCCAACTCCCCACCCAAGTATAGGGTATAGCAACAATCTTTGTCTTGTCTTCTAGATCCAGCCCACGTCCCGGAAGCATCATTTTGCTTTTGATGTCCAGCTTCTCCGAGACTCCGGCACTCAAGCCCTAAACTCCCCAACTGACAACTCACAATGACGGAGATGAGGAAGTGGGCCATGTTGGATGACATGTAACGAACATGGAGAGAACCTTCTCAGTTCCAGTTGTTTCCTCTTCCCTCAATCTCAACATAACATTTTTAAAGCCCCCCATCGTCACTCTGCCTTCTTGTCCTACCCCTTGCCTTCGCTGCACCCTATGCCCGCCACCACTGAAGGTGCACGCTCATCTTTCCCTCCGTTCACAGCAACATTCTTCTCAGCCGTAGGTGGTGTCTTTGCCTGTGTTGAAACGAGCTTTTACACGACAGCATCCATGGTTTTGTAATGTTGTGATTTTGGGTTCCTGATTTTCTCCCAGAGGCGTTTCTTTCTCGCCCCTCTGAGCATCGTTACGTTTGTTTTGAATCGAGAAACGTCTCGTTCAGCTGGTACAGGTTTTTGTAATAGGTTCCCTAACTTCCTGTTATAACAGCCATGCTGGAAGTCTATGTGTATTGTTTAAAACCGAGATTAGGTTAGTTGGGAGTTTTCTTTCTGGCGGTGGACGCTTATATGAAGTCAATGAGGTGGTGCTTATTATGTGCGTGAAGATGTAGTGTTTGTGGGAGGGATGATAAGTGGGTCGCATGAGTTATTTACTCGGATGTTGTGTGTTTTCCGCATTCCTTCAAGCGTTTGAATGATTGTGCTACGAGATGATTACACGATGGTTGGGTTTCTTTACATGGCTTCACTACTAGATACTAACCAGACTCTACGTCCCTCTGAATTCTTTTTCTAGCGTTTTGGAGTTCATGCGACCCTTCTTGGTTAAAACACTTTAAGACGGTTCGGTCCCTATGTACTTTGCCTCGTGACCGGAGTGGATGGACCAGGTTATATTCCTTCACTCACACGTAATCTGAATGATCTGCTGCAGAGTGGAGCCTCGATAAATCTTTGCAAGTGAAAGAGCGTGAAAGCCTTTAACAACCATGAGTTCTCCCGGTGCTACTCCTGGAGGCCGCGGGAAGTCCAAGGCCTCTAAATCCATATCTCGCTCAGCCAAGGCTGGTCTCCAGTTCCCTGTTGGAAGGATTGCTCGTTTCTTGAAAGCTGGCAAGTATGCTGAACGTGTGGGAGCGGGTGCACCCGTCTACTTGGCCGCAGTGCTTGAATACCTAGCTGCCGAGGTGATCTTTTCTCCTGCTCCCCTGCTCCTGGTAACGTCACTTGTAGGATTGTCGAAGGATATGCTCATATACCCCATATTTTTCTGTTAACCTCCAACTCTGCTCATCCTCGCTATCAACGATATGTAGAATGCCAAATACGTTGTAAAATACCGCCATAGTTATTCATTGCTTCTATGATTAATGTCGCTTCGTGGCATTACACCCTTTTTGCAATTTCAGTAGTGCTCCTCCCGCATTGGAGCCGATATGATAGAACCTCTGACCTACCGGTTCGGTGTGCCTGCTGTCAATGTCGGCATCTCTGAACACGGAGCAGTTAAGATGTGTGACACCATTGATCTATCAACCTTCATGTAAATTAGGTTTTATAGGAATGTACGTGTAATACCTTCTGTCACTTCCTTTAGGACGCCGTCGTGATATCACACGTATTTCTACGCCTCAAAAGCGTGCGAGTAATTTCCGTTTGTCCATTGTTGTTTCTAACGATGAAAGCTTGTATGCAGGTCCTTGAGTTGGCAGGAAATGCCGCCAGAGATAACAAAAAGAATCGCATAGTACCCCGCCATATTCAGCTGGCAGTACGAAACGACGAGGAGTTGAGCAAACTTTTGGGCACCGTCACAATTGCTGCCGGTGGTGTGCTTCCCAATATTCACACCATACTTCTGCCGAAGAAGACGGGCAAGGGCGGCAAGGACATCGGAGGGAGTATCTCGCAGGAGTTTTAGGTTTCAACGGTGGATGAGTTTTGTATATAACTCCATTGGATATTCTCTTCGAAATTTGAGAATGCACTGAACGATTCTGAGAACTTTGACATATTCATTGTGTGTAGGCACATCTACTTCTGAAGGCACACCTTATTCAACCTTGCTGTCAGATCATTCTGAGTCTCGTCTTTCTTTCTTTTATTTCCCTTTTTTTTTTTTTTTTTTTTTTTTTTTTTTTTTTTGCAACTTTAGGAACGTCTTTCTGAAGTCTCAATGTCATGCTACTTCTGCATGAACCGCTGATGACCCTGCCTGAATGTTGGCAACGTTTTTGGGTTGAAACGGTCTATCATAGCGCTGTGTGGGAAGCTGACACTCGTGCTGCTGATAAATGGCATCAATTTTGTAATTCGACGCGGTTCTCAACTTCCAGATAACTAAGGTGTATCTGACTAGCTGAAGGTTTCCATTTTTTCTTCCCCATGGGTTTCTGCGGTTTGTGGGTTGAAATCGCAAAAACGGATAGTTACCAATCGACAAATAGAATAAACTGTATCTGGAGCATCATAATTACACTGCGCAGACCTTCATGCTCACATGTTCTACTGTTATTTTGAATAGTCAGATCAACTGCTAAAATCTATAATGCGTTGATACAAATTGTTGTATGAGTACAGAACCTGAGAAAAATATTTTGGAATGCTGTTCTTAACTGGGTGATTAACTTTCAAATGTGTCCAATATATGCCTTACAGGTGACTGCGTATTTTTTGCATTGGTATGTGAAAAAAAATGAATGGAATTAGTTGTGCAGAAAACGAAAACTCCAGTTCTCAAATTGTCTGCTAGTGTTTGTCACCTCCAAAGAGGGAGAAAGTGCGTTGGCGGCTTGTTGTTATCTCCATGTGAAATACTTGTTTGAAAGGGGAATGTGCCCTTTTCAAGGAATTGAAAATGTGTTGTAAAACTCGACTAGAATGCAGGGAAGTAACTATGGTTCTCACATGAATCGAAGTTTTCAATTGTTTTAATATAATCACACACAATGACGTACGTTTTGTTTGTGTTCATTCCGTATTATAATGTCTGATATAGACAGTTTTTGTAATGAGTAAATTGGCTTAGGATAATATTCTTGTACACGTTCACTTGAATTCTTTGTTTGTTAAGACAAACAGATGGTCTCACCACAAACTATTTGATAATTCTACTTGATGTAGATATTTTTAACTTTCTCCAACGCTTTAATTTTTATTGTTAGTCCTTACTAATTAAATAACCAATTTTAATCATGAAGAAACTATCAAATGAACAATCATCACAACAATCTGTAGTATATCATAAATTTTATCTTGTAATGTAGTTTGGACAAAAATAATGGTTGAAGAGTGTTTATTGCAAGCTAGTAAAGCATGAGAATTTTAGAATTTTGTTGAGACATGATTAAGGATCTATGAAATAATTAAAAATATTCTAGAATAATTTCGAAGTATATAATATATTTTATTTATTTATTATTAATATAGAAATTTTGCCCAATGTACAGAAATGTAGTAGCTCATGACAATATCTAAATTCTCTAGAGTGTCCTCCATGTAAAACTCTCATTGAGGAGTGAATACATCACATAATACTAGAGAAAAGTAATGAAACTACAATTGTGTTATAGATGCATATATAAATTTTAATTTTAAAAGTTAATAAGAAGTCCAGACACATTAAAATCTAAAGTCATGTAGGTAATTTTACATTTAATAATGTACAAGTTCTAAAATATTTCACGATTAATAAACAAATCAGTCATTTAAGTTTGTTTTCCATTTCAAGGCATCAGTTGTACTCGATTTTATTATATTAAATGAATCGAAACAGGTCTTCACATGTTTTCTGGAGTACGACTTTATTACGCGAAATTAATTCTGTATCACAAGCAATAAAGAATATAAAAGCAAGATGTTTCTATTTGTATGTCGTTCTAATAATGATCATCCCTTACTATCTTATTAGTATGTCATTCTAGTGATAATTGTGTTCTCTTTGAAGTATTCCCACAGAATATATGTGTCTTAACAGTATTAAAAAGATTTATCTAGATTATGCATCTTCTAATTTCTGCCCAAATAATTCTTGATTGCTGTTAAAGCGCTACATCATTAGTCAAGTATTGAATTGTAGAGCTGTGTTGCAAAGGCTAAGGAATAGCCTACTATTTCTTAGCCTTTGCCACTAACAGCCGCAAACTCTCTTTGAGGCACAAATATGTACATGCTCAATACACCCACTTCCCTGATGTACACTAAAATTCCTGGGTCCATTGTAATCAAGATAAATATGTAAATAATATTGAGCTAGGAATTACCGCTCCAATGGCTGAAGTCACTGCATGCTCTAGGAGGAAAGTGCATCATTCTCACAAAATGCTCATTATTGCTGTTCAGAAAAATCTTTTACGCGCATTTTTGCCGCTGCAACTTCGTCTGCAAATCGGATGTCCAGTGTACGCTGGTGGGTGTAAAGGCCAGCATCTTGGATGGGTAATACCCATGCTTCCTCACACGACTCGTTGTGATGGCTGTGCCACCAACCGGGTGGCGTTATAAAGACAGCTCCTGTCGTCCAATCCACCCTGTTTTGGATTGACAAAACAATCGTATAATCAGTATATATGGAGATATCAAATAATAGAAATAAATAGATAAGTGTGTTTAATGTGGCAAACGTGTGGAAAACATCTTTACTTTGTAAGAGCGACTTCTAAAACAGAGCTAATTATTTACAACTAGAGTGCCAAAATGCGGCTTACGTGCTGAGGAATCCAATTATTAAAGTAACGAATACCGTTATCGTGTGACTCATACAAACCTGATCGGATCCTTAACCCATCCCTCGCTATCGAGCTCTTTGCCCATCAGTGTGTACGTCCCTGGAGCAGCACGCACGGCCAGGTCTAAAGCAACTGAATTGTGTCGATGCGGTCTCTGAACTTCCCCTGATGACACAAATACGATCCGCCACATAACATGTCATTCGAAGTTCTTCAAAGTACTTGAATTTTGAAATATCAGACATTGGTTTGTAGCGCGCGACGCATGACCTCAGAGGACATTTACTACAAATTTTACAACAAGAATTTCATAAACAAGCCCCGACATACACGCCTTGAGCTGTGAAAAAACAGAGTTCACAACATTGTTTGAACCTCAAGAAACAAACTGAAGATAAGTCACGTACTGACCAGCAGGTAAAACATTCAACAACGACCACAGAACATGGGATAATGTCTTGGTCTCAGGTGTTGATTCGTTGCCCAGTAAGATGCCCAGTCGGTTACGGTGCTTCGCTCCAGGTTCATGCCGTACGTTCTCCACGTTATCAAGCAATACCTGCCGACTGCGTCATACAGACAAGTCAAAATTCACGTTAAGTAAACACTATTCACCTGCCTTTCCATAGGAGTACTACATAAACTCCATCCAATCACTGTGGCAAGAAAGATCTTGTCCTCATATACGCACCTGAAGTAAGCTGGTTTGAACTTCTTAACTCTGGGTACAACCCCAAGATAGTTTAGCAAAGGAGCATCTGATACCCAGTATAAACCTGCGCCTCCGCTTTGCTCCTCCTCGTCATCTAGACAAAAGTGAGTGCAAGGCATTTCTTCCGTGCTGGAGGGAAAGACGAAGAGGTCCCCTGTGCTCCACTCCACAACACCCAATCCGTTCTGGGATCGGCCCCGACCATGGATTACATAAAAAGCCTGAGATGTGGCGCATGCATTTGTAGTCACCGATTCGCCAATACAGATTCGTACAAATGATGCCAGAAGATTTGGGGAGGTAGCAGGATATCCTTCAATGCCTATTGCTTTGCTAATATCCAAAGCAGTCACTCTAGTGGGTCCAGACATGTGCTCCGTTGCATCGAGCTTCTGGATGGGAATGGGAATCATGTAAGGATTTGCTGAGCTCGTATACTCGAAAATTTGTGTTGAGTGTTCCCAGGTCTCATTAACAGAAAACTGTTTTCCCAGTGACTTAACCTCATCGTTAAGCTCTTTAGAGCCATTGTGAATGTCGATTGTGGGCATTGCTGAAACCCCTGGAAAGTAGTCCAAACAAATTACACTTGAAGTTAGTCAAAAGCCTGTAATCACATACTGAGGAAGTTCAGGAATACCGAAGTGCAGAAAGCCATAAAGACATAAACACACACTTAGAAAATGTTAGAAAGAACAACAAAACACATGTAAAATCTCCAAGAACGAATTTACAGTTACATCAAACTCTTCTGGAACATGAAAAACATCTACATTGTGCTTGAGCTGCGGCGTTACGACCGTTCCAAAGATTTTAGCCTGCCCAAGATTAGGAAGAACATATAAGCGAGTTACTAGTTCTAAAGAACAGAGGAGAAACGAGCGTCTAAACACCATTTCGCTACTATGTCAATTGCTTCACAAGATGCACTTGACAATGACAAAACAGAAGGAGATCAAAATCATTGATCGACGTCTTCACTTGCCTTCAATACTTCTGTTAGAAGGTCGCACGAAACTGCGAACGGGGAATGCGAGAGCTGGCGCGCCTCCAACTAGAACATAAAACAAAGAATCGGATTCCGCAACTTAAACAACTATTTCGCGATGATAGAAATGGCAGATGAGCAAACACCAGCTGAAGGATCAGAAGCAAACTGTCAACGAAGGTTTTCTCAAGCAGTCGAAACAGACTCTAGTGCTTGGAGGAAGAAAATGCTCCAAGAACGCTGCAAGAATAATGCAGGAATAATGCAAGAATACATGCTATTCTGCCATGAACATTCTAAAAGATGGTACGTGCGTAAAGCAACTACTCAAATTTAAACTTCCTTGGAGCGACAGAGTCCATGAAGGTCCAATGAGACAGCAGAGCATGCCAGGTTCGAAATGGAAAAAGCACCCTCCACTCGCGACTATCTAGCAGGACAGATTAGTGGTCTCCACCCATTGCTGGTTTCGCCAATCGCCATTAGTGGGAAGTCTCCCACAAGACGCGTCTACCGCAAGTAACATCTGAAGATTTACCCGATTTCGAGTTCGACACAAGGCAAGTGGATGCTATTCTCCCGGAACCCTACTGACCCAATTCATGGCAAAGCGCAGAAATAGAAATAGCGATCCACCCCCTCGAGATTTCCAGTTGGGGGTTTTGTGCGGTCATGGAGCAAGCAGAGTGTCCAGACGGTTGAGGACGACACTCTCAACAGGTGGTCGCTATTCCACTGACAATTCAGGTTTGATCATCGACATGCAAGAGCAAGTTGGAATTTGGAACTTAGTCAATAATTTCTGACTTGCTAAAGGTCAAGGCAGCACCAGCATTTGGAGGGAGCCACTCGCCCAATAGCATCAAGTACAAAAGGCCATGCTGTAATTGCACATTATTAGGAGATGCAGCAGATTGCGTAGGCTATAGGTCTATAACGCGGCTTCACTACAGCAACACATCTTCGCATGTGAGACGATGAGCGAGATCAGAGTCTGTCTCATGAAAATCAGCAATCCCTAATGCCCGCTCAACATCAGGGTCCACTGCGCTAACACTTAGGCTCTCATGTAAAGGATCTAAATGGCATTTCATTCAGCAATGGAGGAGAAATGGAAAATTTAGGAGCAATTCGACTTACGATTTGTGAGCACCTGGTTCTTTGCTATCAATTGACAACTATCGGCACACATGCGGGCAAAAGTGACAAGAGCAAATCGTACTCATGCCCTAATACAAAAACCCCGAGCCTAATTCCAAAAAGTCACTTGATCCTCCTCCAATCGGATCGGACTGTAAAGCGAGCATCAGTTACACCACAATGTAAGAGTGCCTCGAATTAGTTGTTAATAATAAATCCAGGACAGACCATTGTTAATGCATGAGTGAATGGTTTAACATCTGCCCATGATTGTGAATCAAGAGAATGCATCGGATAGCAACGTTGCATTGCCAAAATCGCACAGGAGGAATATACTGTGGCAGAAGTGATGCCCTGCTGCAAAATCTTCATCAGAAGCTTTCCGTTTAATCAAAACAAATTAGATTACACTACATAAAGTTCGAGTCTAAAAATTAATCAATTGAGAGAAAGATATTGAAAATCATAAAATTGCAAACACACACACACGCACAAGCAAAAACATACTGATCACAAAGACAAGGCGTTCATATACATTCACGTGACAGTCTGCACATCTCTAATTGTCCAATCCAAACTGAATCCAGTGGAACAAATTCGACATTCTGTAAATTCCAAAGCAGAGCCTGACGTTGTGGACAACTATGGTTGTTTCAGAAACGTTGTGGCAGATATTGGTCGCGCGATCACCTACTTGAAGCGATACACTCACTGATGACAATTTGTATCCATTACAAACAATAGTGTATAGAGAAAACAATACAAATGTCAAATGACAAGTCTAAGCAAATCTTAGATTGCCACTGCCAAATGAGAGGCGCAAAGAATATTGTGAAGGAGAATCTTAATCAATGTCACAAAAATTATGTCAAATATGCTGCGCTACAAGAGACAAGCTGCAGAAACAAAGGAACTCCCATGTGCAATCTCGGTACAACTTCACTCAATTGTCCTGGAAACAAATCTCTACCCTGCAAATGCGCAATAGCGCTATGGGGATTGAGCAAACTTCGAACCAGGCCCCTTCAAACCTTTCCTGCGCTGCACCAATTGCCTCCACCCCAGCTTCTGCTGCGGCTTGTGGTCTAGCTCACAAGGAAGTGCCTGCGCGGTGCTGGTGAACACATCGAGAACCGTGAATGCAAGAATGGGCGACAGGTCGATTGTGCCCAGAGGCGGAATAATACCCCGGAAGACGTTCAAGTAAGGGTCACAAATCGTGCTAAGCGGGTTCACGATGGCCTCAGGAGCGTTCGGAAACCACGTCAACACCAGCCGCGCAATCAACACAGTGTTATACAGGTTCAAGAAATTGAGCACAGAGCTCGAGATCAGAACCTCCGCAACAGAGTCCCCGGGAACTATAGCTGCGAAGTTACGAGACCTCCACGCGACATGCTTCGACGACGCAGCCCGATTCAATCCCACGCCCACCTTCAATTCCTCCACCTGCAGCAGCATTCTCTTCAGAACGGGGTTCTTCCCCACAATGCCATCCCCCACCTGCTTCACCCACGTCTCCGCTCCCTGGAGGTGCTGCTCAATTCCGTGTTGCAGCTCCACCAACACTCGCTGCGACAGAAGAGGGAGATTGGGCAGGCCGTCATGGCTTGACTGCTTGACGAGAGGCGCCATCGCCAAGTTTTGGGCGTTGGGAGTTTCCAATACTGATCTCGCAGTTGTGAGTGACCCAGAGATGGAGATGCCGGTGCCCCATTGAAGATGTGGAGTAGCTTCGGAAACAGACAGGAAACTGGATCAGGCAGGACGAGCAGAGTTCGTGTGGGGCGTAGTGGGCCAGGCAACGGTGCCTTTCTCTCGCTCGCTCTCTTTTTCGCTCTTCGGTTCCATGAATAGTTTCCGAAAACCATGCACTCAGATTTCCTCATCAACACCAGGGTGTACAAAGTTTAGGAATTGATAAGTGGCAGATAAATCTTGGAAATTATTGTAGTAAGTAGACTTGGGGCGTTGCTGTAGATAGACAACAATGTGTAAAGGAGAGAAGATACACAAGTGATAGGGTACCATCTTTTCGAAGAGTGGTTGTGCTTTAGAAGGAATGTAGAAAGGCCATGGTTTGTGGGCGCGATTGATTAGTTGTGTTGAATTCTAGTATCGTTTTGCTTGTACACATTGTAGGGATAGGAACTCATGCAGTATTAGAAAGTTACTTTTCAGAACAATTACAACATAGTTTGGATTTATAAAGACTTAATATCACCGGTGTAGATCATTTGCAAGATCAATAAAGTTGGTTATTTTTAGTGTAAAATAACAAATAAATTTCTCTCACACTTTCACTGCGGCTACTCCAGAAAGTGACAGAGACAGCGGGATTCCAAATATGGTCATTCCTGGACACAGAAGTGTTGTTTTACTTTATGATAAGAAGAAATATATGTATATATATATATATATATATATATATATAAATCAGAGATTATTGCAAGGTAAGTATTCAACTAACCTGACGCACGAAATGCACCACAAAGAAAGGAAAGTACTTCCGGATCAATTGCACCCAAGAGGAAATGCCACTATAAATACGAGAAAATGATTGTTGACAGAACACGTTGAGCGGCGATACCTCCGAACACCTGTGACTGCTTCACCTTCACAGAAAAACACTGTGATCTTCGATTACTGGGGGTAGGCGTTCAGTGACAACCCAGTAACTCCACAAATCCTATTTACTCAAAATGAGGACTTCAACAGAAACCTAGGAAGCATGCTTTAAATATACTTAAGATGAAGTAAGCATTAAAGTAATTCAATAAGTAACTGGTGAGTAAATAGAAGCATGAAGTTACACAAGACAGAAATAAATAAATAAATAAATAAAAATAAATCCAGAGTACCATACTTACAGTAACCGATTGACTTATTTGATTAAGCTGGGAGTAAACTACGTATCTTTCAGGTTCATCAGCTCTAAAACCCTCCAAAGAGTGAAAGTGAACATGCAAATGGCATATGCTAACACTCAAGGATCCTGCCAGCATAAGACAGAACCTCGGAAACAAAACTACGAGCTCTGCTATGATTCTCTACGCCCTCGACTTCCGCCTAAGCTAACTGTTAGTGCTATCACCCCACCGCTGCACCAAATTACAGAACAAAACTAAAGAGCTCCTAGCTCTCAATGCCATTTGAACCAAAGATTTTCAAGACAAAAAAACCAGAACTCATAAAAACAAACGATATACATTACACAGTTTGACTCTGAAACATAAATATATAATAACTGCATCTTTCCAGCAACCGTTTGCCCTCCAGGACTTAAACCAAAAAACATGCAAAGAGTATGCCATTCAATCTTAAACCTTCTATTGTTCTTTCCGTTCAGATTCACTTTTCTGAACCTTCACATAAGGCAAAAGTCCCAACACATATTCCACCTTTGGATTCCAGTTGAGCTGCTCTGCTCGGCAATACAGTAAAAATGTGGTGCCGATATAGGAATTGAACCCCATTAACACATGCCACAGAGCATGACCTTGAGGGTTTACCCGGAGCTTGGAAATCTGATTGCATAAGTGCCGGTCCGCTAGCCAGCACATACCACCGAGAACAAGGAACAAGATGTATTTATGAGCCAGTTTCCTTACAGCTGGATCTTTTGTGTGAATGTAATACTTGTACATCCTTGGGAGACAGAGCACCGCCAACAAGACCAAATGCAGTTGAAATCCCACAACAAACCTAAACTGCGAGTGCAGAACGGCAAATATAGTCCCGTACAGAAATAGGACTGTGGGCATTGTGCTCCGATAGTGCCAGTCTGGAGAATAAAGCACGTAGATGTAGAGAAGCATCACCCATACCATAGGAGTCTCATCACTCTGCTGTTGACTGCTCGCAAACGTCGCGCATGCAAAAAAAAAGTAACTAGTAAGACACTACAACTTGAGGGTATATATCTTCCAAATATTCAGTCAAAACATCGATATTCGATATGCATGTCCACATTAAGCACAGGCATGGACGAGTAAGATGTATATGAGCACTGTTAAAAGTAAAGTGTAAAAAGCTTACGCATATTTAAGTGTGGCATGAAATAGACTGCTTCCAATACAGAGCGCAATGGTCGACAAATGAAGAACGCTGAACCGCCTTTCAAATTTTTGGCTGATGGCATAGTATAGACCTATAATTGCAAGAATGATGCCGGGGACATTGGATATTGTGTTGTAAAACTCGGCCACCATAGGTGTGACTTCATAGTTCTTTTCACACCATTCCGTACTCGCAGTGATTGGACCCCAGTAACCCTGGAGCCATCCAGACGAAGGCTCCCCAGCCATGGAACAGAAAAGGGCTCAACAGCTACAACCCACCTTGTCCAGCTCGAAACCTTTCAACTTGAGCAAGTGCGAACTCTTTTGTCCATAATTGCTCAAGTACAAAAACTGTCTACCTCAATTTCAACCTGACAGAAACAAGAAGGCTAAAAAATCAACAGAAAGGCCGCAAGGAAACAAATGTTGGCAAACTGAAGGGTATAAATGCACTTTACACATAATATCTGCATGCTTTAACTTAAACCGCCTACTAAACTCCTCAAGTTAAAAGGAAAAATACAACAGCTAAATGAACATAAATTAGCACTACGCAAAAAAGATTCATCGACAACCATATCAAAAGCAAGACCTGCGAGATGACTACATGTTAAAGAAAGCTTGGCACACAAACTTTACGCAACTATTCATCAGCCCAGGAAAACCATTCACACTAAAAATAAGGGCGCAAATGTCACACAAGGCGATTATGGATGACTTGGACTGATACGTCTTCAGAGAGTCATTCTATGACTTTAAATCCTTCAAAAGAAAGTCTATGAAATCGTAAGCTCTTCTGATACGATTAGAAAGTACTAGCCCAACTCCTCTATCCATATTTTTCTTTAAGTGAACAGAGGTTCGAAAGGTTTCTGTATTCCAAAGGAATTTAAGTGCTAATCAGAAGCAAGAGCAACTATGTTCTACTTCTTACTGCGATTGACAATCATGTACTTTGAGCTGGTAGACATGCCTAGGCGCGCTACACAGAAGTAGGGTTTTGGTGCAGTAGATCATAGTCTGAGAGCGTCCGACTCAAGCTACAAATTTCACTGTAATATATTTCGCGCAACAAAATCGAAGGTTAGATCACGGGAACGATTTCGCCAGATAGATACACAGGAGTAGGTTGACAACTACTGGCATAGGCAGTACATGAAAAAGACAATATGCACGGGAGAACAGAACTTACCAGGATTTATTACACAATTCATTCCTACCGTCATTCCCAGTGCATGACTCCACCTAAATAAAACTCTAGTCTACAAAACAGCAATCTTAGAAGCTGAAGGAGCTCTAGAACAGCCTGTTGACTCAGATCGCAGGTCAAAAACCGCTTTCACAAAACCAAATCCCCCTAAATCTAAAAGAAATCTAAGCCCATAGGCCAAGCTCCTGACTCCAGATTCGACGATGAAACATTCCAATCACTCAAAACCAAAACCCAATCCAATCATCCATGTAGAGAAATCCATCCGCCCTAACTCTCACCACCCTCTCCTTCTCGGTCCCCCCCCCCCCCCCCACCACACAAAGAATAAACCTGCACACTGAGCATCGACAAAACAACCCGACCTAAACCAAATCAAAACAAACCAGACTCCTCTTAAAATTAAAAGAACACACTATACAAACTCGGCAAACATACCTGATGTGGGTGAGCAGATCGGCGCCCGTATACGTCCCAGAGAGCAGCAGCAGCAGCTCTGGAGAGTAGCGACCAATGCCCTAATCGAGGTTGAAAGCAAAACGCAGTCTAAACTCTACCAAACGGATAGAAGCGAAGCGCTATAGGAAGGTCCAGAAACCATCATCAATCCTCTCAAAAGCATCAAAAGACCCAGGAACCAAAATTTGCACTTTGACACCGAAACTAACTAGCCCAAAACATGGGAATGATTATGCGCTCGCTCAGGTTTGATTGACTGGACAATGGCAAGGCAAGATGGTCCAGCGCAGCGCAGCTAGCTAAGCTGTCCGTCCCTCCCTCCCCCCCTGGCTTCAAGGCCAGCGGTTAAACACCCTGCATCTATCTCCCTCCCTCCCTTCCTCAACCCCAGGACTGATCCTCAACAAGCCCACCCGCGCGCGCTTCAACCGGGCTCTCTTGCATGCTCATTCACCGATGCTCTCTCACTCCCGCGGCGGTCACGGTGAATTTCTCCATTTTTTGCTATAATTGAGCGGCACTGGGTAGCACTTTGCGGCCCCGCCATTGCCCTAATTTCGGGACACCTTGGTGACCGGTTGGCTCTGGTTCCCCCTTCTTCTTCTTCTTCTTCTTCCTCCTCATGAGTCATGTCTTGCATAATAAATCTGTAGCTCGACAATTGGGTTTCATGTTTGCGGTAATCACTACGTCAATCAATCCCATGGCGCACAAACTGACGCAACCCAGTCCAGTCCAGCTCTGTCGTGAGTGAGCATCTTCATCTTCTTCTTCGCCGAAGTATGGCCCCGCGCCGCTCTCGTGTAGAGATGTGAGTTTCAACGCAAATTTGGAGTCATGTTTATTTTGGAAGTTTTTACTGTGTGTGCTTTTGAATTGTTTCTTTGTTTGTTTATTATTGTGATTGGTGAAGAGAACCTGAAAGAATGTTTAGAATACTGTTCTAAAGATGTGATCTTCAAAAATGTAATAGAAATAAATGAAACTGAGAATTGAAGTGCGTTGCATAGGTGTGCTATTAAGAAAAACTACTTCATTTGGTATTGTCTCGAACAATCTGTAAACATTTCGACCTACGTAACACTGTACACATGTGACTTAATCGAAAAGTACTATAAATAACATGAGTACAAATATGTAGCATTCATGCCATGAATTTTGTGTATTAATTTATTTTTAATTTTTGGTGTGAATGATTCTGAATAAATATATTTGAATGGACGTACATTGTTAGACATTTAAGAGCTTTGAAACGAATTTTGTGCAAAACATGTCTGCATAATATATTTCTCTTATTCGCATGGGAACCAAAGCGATAGATGAAGAGCTTATTTATGAAAATATCATGAGATGGAACGAAAAATGGGTGGTCTTTACAAAATCATAAAAATTTAATACAAACTATATGAATAAGATTGTATCACACTGTCCACTGTATGATAACATTGCCCTATTTCTATTTTTACTATGTTCCGAACCAACACATATTATGAGAAAAAAATGTACATATCTTTTCATATCTTACTATCTCTAAACTTCATTATAGGTTAAGCTGATAAGATTCATGTCAAGTCTAAAATCAGAGTGGTATGGTGTTCAGTAAATAATAAACCAAGCATTCATAGAATATTTATGCATGTTTCAAATTATTACAAAATAATTATAACTTGGTATGGCATATAATGATTTAAGCATTTTGAAATTTATGTTTATTTTAACTGATTAATTTTTATCATTTATTTTGCTACTATAGTTTTAGAAAAATATGATTGGAAAAAAAAACCTAGACATGGGAATTGATTGGATCTCTACTGTCATTTGAAGTATTATTTTTTACTTTGAAGTTTACAATATTTATCAAAGTAAGATTTGAGTTATTGTGAGAGATAAAATTAACAAATAAATTAATGTAAGTGTATTATAGTTTAATTCATTTACATTTGCACAAAAAATATAATTTGATATTATACACTGTTTAGATATCATCAATGTATTTTTTGTGGTTTTGCAAATAGTATTTTTTTTAAGACAAATCCATAGTAATTATTTATCAATAAAAAATAAAGTCTAAAAAAATATGTATAAGTATATGTACAATTGAATTGATATTCAATTTGTTTTTCTTAGTGTATAATATATTGCTATTAGTAGTTTCTAAGAGCACTATAAGTTGTTTTATAGAACATAATAACCAAGTTATTCTGTTTTTAATTTAGAATTTTTTAGCATATGCAAGAATCAAATTTATTTTTTTAATAGATGAATACTTATCTTAATGGTTGAATCTTGTTGAAGTAAGTCAAATTAGATAAATATATATATATATATATATATATTTTTATCTATTTGCAATATAGATTTTAAAAAGTTGATGGAAAAAAAAACGGCATTAGAATAGTAGAAGGTACCACAATTTTAAGTAATTCAATATTAATAGTTAAAACTTCATCATAATAATAATAGTAATGAAGTGAGAAGCTAAATTTATATAGATTAATAAAATTAAGTTAAAAAACTAGATGTAGTGATATATAGGTATGTAGAAAAGAGAATATTTTATTAATTAAGGTTTGTTTCACATAGAAGATTAAATATAAAAAATCATTTCTAAATGTCCTCACAAACAAGATAAAAATGAGAGCATAAGAATATAATATCAAAGAACTTGCTAGCAACAATGTTAGATTCTAAAACAATTTTATACCTATATAAAACAACCCTTAGGCTTGTCATCAATGTCTTAGTAGACATTGCAAATGTCAAGTAACATTTTATCTCACCTTGTATCATCTTTGCATTGTTTAAAGTTCACGTTTTTTCTCAAAAGAACTTCTTGTTGGAAGGCTTTTATAACAAAAATCATTGTTGAAATCAACCTTTTTATATATTATGCATTAAAAACATCATAGAGATAAAATAAATTATTTTAATAATAATAATAGAAGTTCACTTGTTTATGAAAAAAAAAAAAGAAAAAAAAAACCATTGAAGATGAGATTAATGATTAAAAGAATGAAATAATTATAAAATAAATGATTTTTAAATACTATAATATAAGAGCATTATAGTTTAATCAATCTTAGTAGACATTACTTATAAAGATAAAAAAATTCATTTATTTGTGTGTGTTTTATTATTTAATTAATTAATTAATTACTAATTTATTTCTTACCATTCCACAACTCTCATATATATTACATAAAGATTATGTTTTTTCTTTTAAAATCATATGCGATTGTAAAAAATAGATGAAAAAAACAAAATAAAATTTTAAGTAAGATTTTTTTATTAATTTTATGAAAAAAAAATTATAAATAACTTAGTTTCTTATTAATAATTATGAATTGATAGAAAATAAATACTTAGAAGTAGGGAAGGTGATAGTAGAAGAAGTTTTTATATCAAATATTATAAAAATAATTGTCCAAAAAACATAAAATCTTTTACTATAGAATATTTTTAATTAATATAATAGGTAAGATTTTAGTATTTTTTTTCTAATAATAATATATTTGAAAGAAGAATGATAAAGCATCCCAAATTTTTTCTAAAGCAATCCACTCTATCTTAACCATCATTGCACCTTTGCATCTTTATTCTTAGTCATTTCTTATTCCCCATTTCTAGCCATTGCTATGGATGGAGGTAAGGGGCTAAAAACGTCAAGAACAAGGACATGGGCTGGAAATGTGAGGAATGGGTTTGAAGGTTGGAAATAAGAGAACAACTAGGAACAAGGACATAGTTGAAAGGGTATAATGATGGTTTAAACATGTGGATCAATTTAGTAGAAATTGGAATTGCTTTATCATTTCCCTATTTAAAATGGATCTTAAATGAAGATGGATTTCTATTTTTCTTTTATTTACCAAAAAATAAAAACATATTGTATATTGATAGAATAGTAATTAAAAAATATGCTAAGACAACATACACAAATAATTTCATGCAAAGATCAATTGAAAATTGGTGGTAAGTAATATGAAATATTCATAACATTGGATTTCAACTACATGACAATGTTCAAACCATTCCTCACAAAATTAACCTATCACTTAGTATAATGTTTTTTTCATTCTACTACAATTGTGGAAACCATCGGCATGTGAGTATGACAATACATAGTTACAGTGGTCCAACAATTTCATGCAAACGAAAAGTTACAAAAGAAATATTGTGAACAAACTCTACACCATCTCCACAACCCATGCGCTACTAATTGTACAACAACAGTATGTTGTACCGCATCGTTAATAGAACAAGAATGCATGGAATACTATGTTCAATATTCATTAAAACCAGATATGAATCTGTTGTGCTTCTGCTCCTATACCTGCCTGAGTGCCAAAAGAACCCACTCTTCTCTTCAGCCTGATGTATTACTGCAAATAAATGATCATGCTATGTATTGAAGGACAGCGTTCCAAGCCCACCCCAAGTGAGTGTGGAATCCCCCCCCCCCTTCAAGGCCACAAAAGCCTGATCTGCTGCAGGAATTCCGGAGTGTGAATTGCAGTTTTAGTTGAAGTTCTGCGAGGAGTTCTTGTCTCAGGTCTAGACAATTGGGTGGGGGGGGGGGGGGGGTGATTCATCTTGTGGGTCAGCATGCTACTTCTATGGTTGCAAAGCTCAGTTGAAGCATTTGGATGGTTTAATAGATGCAGCCGATCATGATTACCACCGAAGAGCAGCAAAAGAATGAAGGATACACGATTCCTTGAGTGTCGTGAGTGTCGATCAGCTGCCCCTTCAGCACGAGGCCGTCACAACGTTGGCATGAGGCCCGAGACGATGGCTTGGTACGTTCCCAATCCTTGCAAACATGTTCCACCTACCAGCGATTTGCGTGGCGAAATGCTTCGCATGGTCTTTAGAGCTTGACGTTCAGAGGTTATATTCCTCGGCAAGTCATGAACCCATCGTCACCAGAAGGTTTCTTGTGGTGATCAGAAGGTTGAATAGAAGGTTTTTTTTTCAACACTGCAGTGGGTTGTAGTTGATACCAAGAGTTGATTGTAGGCCTACAAACCTGAGGGCTGGAGTTGGATTGACTGGGCTGTTGGTGGTGTCGGAGTAGTGGAGAGAAGGTCCAAGATGACGAGGAATACTGGAAGTCCGATGCAGTATACTTGCGTTTATGCGACAATTTGCGGTGCCACGTCCCTGCTCGCGTTATACGGCACAATGGAGCACGCCATTGTCGGCAAATCTGGCAAGAGTGGAGAAGTCAGCCACGCCAACCCACAACGAGCAAATAGGGTTGAAGGAGAGGCAGTTGGGAAGGACGAAGAGTGGGGTCAAACTTGTGGACATGGCGGATGCTAGTCGAGATCAGTACCAAGGAGGCGTCGATACGGACTCCAGACTTCGAGCAATTGTCGTCAAAATGCAGGCAGTTTTTCGGAACGCTTCCAAAGAGCTTACAAATTTCGGACGTTGAGATACGGATTGGGACTCACGTAGAGAGAAGGCACGACCGGCGAAGCAAAACAGTATCCTGCTAGTTTCAAGCTCACATCCGAAAAATGCGAGAATGCTCACGGTGACCATTTGTTGCTTAAGTCCTTGAAGAACAAGGTGGATTACTGCCGGCTCCATGGAATCGAGCTCTACCACATTATGGACATGCTTAATGAGAAGATGGTCGGATGGTGGGTGAAGCTCTTCGCGATCCACATGCTCATGCTCGCCAGCTTGAGTGGATTCTGTGGATGGACAGCGACGCCATCTTCACGAACATGACATTCGCACTCCCACTTGAGAAATACAAGGATCACAACATGGTAGTCCAGGGGTGGGACAATGAGCTGTACGACCTCAAGAATTGGGTGGGACTCAACACAGGTCCGTCGAAATCTGTTAACAGTTGTCTGAGTGTAAATTGAGTACTTACAATCAATTGATTATACTCCTCACATGTTCGTTTATTGCCATGGAATAGGAGTCATCCTTCTCCGGAATTGCCACTGGTCCATCGACCTTCTCCATGAATGGGTGAAATTTAGCCCCAAAGGTCGAGTGGGGGAAGCTGCCTGAGCCCTGCTGACGGAGGCATTTCCGGACAGGCCACTCGTCGATGCAGAGGATCAATGAGCCTTAGTCTACTTGCTCATAACGTAGAGGTACATGATCTTACGGACCATTCGATTTATAAACAAGCTAAATTAGACACTAGAGAATGTGGACAGTGTTCCTAAGCATCGAAAGGGTGATGCATTCATGGTGGCGATGGGCAGCGAAAGTGTACCTGGAGCATTCGTACCACTTGCAAGGATTCTTCGAGGTTAGGACGATGCAGACGCACAGGTATCCGGGGATGGGGTACGTGGTGGCCGTTCGTGACGCACTCCACCGGGTGTCAAATCTGTATCGGATTGCCCAAAACACAATACGACATCGAGAATTGTCACCGACACATGGAGCAAGCTTACAAAATTGCAAACAATCAAGTGTTGCAGCAAACTGGCTGGCTTTACTTGTGGCTTCCTCCACAACTCAATAGTCAAACATATCTGACTGCCACCAACAGCATTCATAAAAAAAACTATTACTTACATATCAGCAAATCTTGCGGCTTGGTCCCTGAAACCCCTCGCCTGGCACCCCTACGATGTCCTCAATTTTCTACCTCCATATTTAATGGTGTCCTTTAGATTTTAGACCTCCAGGGATTGCAATCAGGATCCACAAATTACGTTGAGCGTCTCTGATCTGGTTGAGCGTGTCTATTGAAGAGATGGAGTGGAATAATAACTAACCAAATAGGCATTGTTGCCTTCAGTGTGAGGTGCCACCTGTCCTTTACGATGTAGACTTAGCAGTCAGAGGAAGACGATAGGGCTGCCCTGGTCAGTGCGTGCTTACAAGATTTTCTCTTGTGAGGACTTTCATGCATCTGACACCCAGCAGTATATGTCTGTCAACCGGGCATATGAACCTGGCGACGTAAGTACTCGCTGTTCTTGATGAATGCTGCTTCGCAGCAGGTGCGGCTGGTGAGGATGCTCAGAACACCCTATTAGTTGCAACTGCCCTCCGAAGTCATGTTACTCCGTCTGGTATGTTTAGTTATACCCATTATGCTCTTTTGCCCTGAGATCATATTCGACGCCCTTCATGTACATCCCAGAAGAGTACAAAACGGTTATCTGGTTTCATTATCACCAAATCTCAGTCACCAAAAATGAGAGACTTCGGCATAGTTTGTGACAATGTACCCAGTTTTCAGCAAATTTGCAAGGCTGGCTCATACAGTGCCGTAGTTGCTTCCAAACGGAAATCTACGAGCGCAAAGTAGAAAAAACCTTCATACAGATTACACAGAATCTTGACAGATGAATCTGCATTTATGTACAACATGAAATGATTGGATTCGCTCAGTTGGCTTGACATGCTAATCCTCTGCAAATTTGTCTTCAAGCTTAGATAAGAACTGGAATTCTGAAATGCAAACAAGCATATGGCTGTGCTACTCTGCAAAGGTGAAGCAAAGCTCGAGTACAACAGTCTTACAGCTGATAAACGCTCTGAAGTCTGAGTATTACTTGACAGCCGGTGTGACTTTTAACCGTTCCGAATAGTAACATTCACCCTCCTGCCTATGATGGCCATGCATATGACAGGCTCCGATTTGTGTAAAAACATTAATAAGGGGAAAATTCACTGCTGGCGGTTAGGTGTGCACATTGATTGCCACCTTGATGACTCGCGCCTCGAGTGTAATGGTGGAGAGCTTGGTTGACCAGCTACTCGGCTTCGCTGCTTGGTGGCCCGCCAGCCCTGGCAGCCAGGCACCCTAGCTGCCACTCAGTTTATGAAGATGTACTCATGAGCGTTATGTCCAAGACATTGTGTGTATTCCCTACCTTTCCTCTTCCGCAAATCTGGGTTTAGACACCCGTTCCCCTTCGGCTCTTGCAGATTCTCTGTACAGCTACTTCGCTATCTCTTCTGCGGAATCTTGCAATATTGTAGCTTGTCTTTGCATCTTACTCTGTCGCGGATTGTCACTGCAAGTGTACTGGCTCCTTGTCTGGCATGTGATTACCTGTGATCTGATAGTGCAGCAAGGTGAGTATCTCGCAAGTCATGTCGACCGCCATGCTTGCGTGAGAATTTAGGCGATTCGCCAAAATGGTTTGAGAGTGAACGTCGAAGTTGTTGGTGCTGTACTCTCGTGGTGGATTATTTCATTTCATTTTATTTTGTTTCGTGTCTTCGTGCATGGAAGGAATCAGGATGGAATCAGCCGCAGGAAGAACACAGAGAGCACTGGCAGTCTGGTTGGTCATTGCGCAGCTGCTGCAGATAGTGGCAGCGCAGGACTTGCAAGTGGATTTCTATGGTGGGACCTGTCCTTCGGCGGAGAAGATAGTGAGAGACGCTGTGGAAGCTGCCGTGGCGAAGGATCATGGCAATGCGCCGGGCCTGATTCGTCTCCACTTTCATGACTGCTTCGTGCGAGTAAGAGTTTGGCGAACCAGCGTCGGCATTTTTATATTTACAATTTTGGCCTCTCCACGAAGCTAAGACTTTCTTGTGTGGATTTTCTCGATGAATAATGTATACTGCACTATTAAAATTATCAAACTTGTGGAAGTTGCGTTTGATTAGGGGTGCGATGCGTCAGTCCTTTTGGACGGACCGAAATCGGAGAAGGTGGCGTCGCCCAACTTTAGCTTGCGAGGATTCGAAGTTGTAGACGCGGCCAAAGCAGAGCTCGAGAAACAGTGTCCTGGAATCGTTTCCTGCGCCGACATTCTTGCCTTTGCCGCTCGTGATTCCATTGAATTGGTACGTGAAAGTTTTCAACTCCATCAGAAGATTTTGAATAGCTGCTAGATCGACTGTTCGTAGGGATGATCCAACTGTTTTGTGGTGATTGAGCAGACTGGCGGAAAGAGATGGGAGGTTCCTGCGGGTAGACGAGACGGCAACGTGTCCATCAATGCCGAGGCAGAAGCAATGCTGCCGAGCCCGCAGCTCAATGTGCAACAGTTGACTGACAGCTTCACTCGCAAAGGATTATCTCAAAGCGATATGATCACATTATCGGGTGCGCACACGATTGGTCGAATCCATTGTTCGACCGTCGTGGCGAGATTGTATCCTGAGACAGATCCCAGCCTCGACGAGGATTTGGCTGTGCAGTTGAAGACCCTCTGTCCTCAAGTCGGCGGGAGTTCATCCTCAACCTTCAACTTGGATCCCACGACGCCAGAGCTCTTCGACAACATGTACTACTCGAACCTCTTCAGCGGCAAGGGAGTTCTGCAATCGGACCAGATTCTGTTCGAAAGCTGGTCCACGAAGCTTCCTACAATGTTCAACGTCTTGTCCACAACATCGTTCACTTCGTCATTTGCAGACTCCATGCTCACCATGAGTCAGATCGAAGTGAAGACGGGCTCAGAGGGCGAGATTCGTCGCAACTGTAGGGCTGTGAATCCCGTGGTGGAGGCCCCTTCTCCTTTGTAAGCAGCTTTGGGACTCTACTCATTTGACCTCGTGCTCACCACGGAGAAGACCCGTCTGCAAGAAGATTAACGAAAGTAAGTTCGACCTCCGAAAATGGGCATGTCGTTGTTTTTCGATGGTTTTTCTTCACATGGACACAGATTCCTTGATTGACTTATGACTGTAGGTTAAAGTACAGGAACTTGGCTCGCAGGAAGCCTCTGTCCGACTTACAATAGTAGATCGGAATTGAAACTGTATCAGAATCTGAATCAGCTTAGATATTGGATATTGTTACACATGAACGTTCTGTTCTCATAGAGTTAGGGTTTAGGAACAGCTTACCAGAGAAATCCCAACGGCCGTCAGAAAGCGGCAGCTGTGGAGCTGACAATGTTGCATCCTTCCCCGTAGCCTGCTCTTTTCAGGATTAAAGCTTTGATGTGGAGTTGTCACACTCAATAAGCCCTTAACCTACTCAATCTGAATATGATCGTCGCTGTCATTCTTCACTTCGTCTCTGCCATAATCCTTGTAATGGCTTTGTCACTGAAAATCCTTCATTCTAAGATGCAACAAAGACTTGCAAGAACTTAATAGTCATGCATAGATAGGGACGTCTGTTAAATTTCTTTTGTTTCCTATGAATTGACACCGATCTCGTACGCAATAAATATCACTGGGCGCAGTTTGGCTAAATCTGGCGCAATTTAATCGTCACAGCTATTTAGATTTCTGTCCAGAAGGATATCTAATCATCACATCATCGGTCATCTCCGTCAGGCAAATCTTTAACCTGATTTCAGCATCGAAATTCAAACTTCGGACATGTCAATCAATGACCACGATTACCTGACAACAGGCTTCGAAATCTCAAGAACACCCTCTCCCTCGATGATGACCATTTTTGGCCTGATCCAACTCGTCTGGCCATTCGAAGAACACGTCCAGCTAGCGCTGAAAGAGCCATATTCCGAGGAGAGACATTTCTGGATGGAATTCAAGATTGCGAACCAAAACACGAGAATAAAAATTGCTGTCCACGTCCACCTTCTAAAATACGTTGAAAGAACTGGAAAGTGGTCGGAAAAGATGTAGTGCGAGCCTTTACCAATGAGACTATATCAAAGACGTGTCACAAGGATCACCCTGCTTCACAATTAGAAAGCTTTTATTCGCATCTACAAGTACCAGGAATGAAAATATCCAAAGTAAACATACACAAATGAGTCGGAGGTGGAGTAAAAACAGGGATCGCCTTTCCGGCATCTTGAAAAAATTAGGAAACAAAAAAACGTTACACCGTGTAGTGATGACAGCCCCTCAAACATCGATTCCATGTCACTCTCATTTGGATCATATGATGTCATCCTCATTCCCAACTACCTTGTTCCTTGAAAAACTGGACAATCCAAAAATGACGTCGCTGTTGAAGTTCACATGACATTCTCACCTGGCAAAGATGAGCCTCATGGCACTCCTTGATTGTGACAATTGCGTGAACCTGAATAGTTTTTGCTGTCAGTGTACAATTTCAGACCACCGTTGATGAAGTCCTGGAGAAACTGATTTCCTCATGTTTCAGCGCTCATCGAACATTCCTTGTGATAGACTTCCGAACGTGAATGCCATGTAGTACGAGCTAAACATAATTCAATTTTTGGATTACGGAATCGAAGGCAGCTTGTGAAGAATTCTTGAGAATCACTGCGGTGGTTCTATGCTCAAAAACAATCGAGCTGCGAAACTAGTGCACCTATCCATGTTAACGAATTTGAGAAAGGCCCTGGTTGTGTCCGCGTTGCTGTTCAATGAAGGCAAGGCGTTCGTGCTGTGATCCACACAACTGCTTGCCGTCGATCTAGTGTAAATCTATAGATGAAATTCACCTGTATGCTAAATGTGGATAATATTTGTTACTGAACTCAATTGCTAATGTCTTTAAAACTTGAAACGTCGTAAATCTGGTGGGTAAAGGATTGGAAGTGGTGCTATTTTTAAACTGGTCTGCGATTGTCTGTATTTCCCCGCATTTTTTTTGGTGAATTTAGCTGTGCGATTCTTCGCGTGGTGGAAAGTATAAGAAGCGTGGTTCGGCAAAAGCATTTGCCACGTGTCAACTGTCAATGCTATTACGACTCCGCAGAAACGCCCTTTGAAGGCGTTAAGGTTTCTTTGTAGAAAGTCGATCATTATTCTTGGGAATTCGAGTTTTTGGCAGTGAATTTATGATGCAAGGGGTTTCGAGGTCCTATTTGCCTATGGCATCCGCACAACTTCATCAACCCTCTCTGCTTACTTCGCCTTGTTTGTATGCTTCTCGTCGTCGTCCAGTTCTCCAAAGTTCCTTCACAAATGCGGTTTCTCTTCGTGCTTTTGGAAAGAAATTTCAACCATCGTTTCCCCTAACTTACACTGCGGAGAATGTCGGTTTGAACCACCAGCAACTTCAGGTTTGATCTCTGACGTAATGTACATCATATTCTTGACCATGTGTGTATGAATTTCTAAGAAGTAGTTGCCGGCTATTGACTTACATTCAGAATTTGAAAAACGGAGATTATTGCCTCTCGCTTTTGTATATAATCGTCTTGACCTAAATTCTACTTTTACAGGCATAGCCATGGCCGAAAGAGCGTAAGCCTTATTTTGTACAAGTATTTTGGCATGTTACATTTTCTCTTGTACGTGTCGTCGCTTTGTAGGGGAAACTGAAGGCAACCCCCAATGATGGCCAAAGCCCTAATGACGATACCAAACTTCATCAGCTGCATGATATCTCCACATGGATTCTGGATTTTGCAGCTTCAAATTTATTGCCTCTCGGTAAGATTCCTCTACGCGGTGTACGTGCAGGAAGAAGCAAGTGATTACCAGATTCAAGAGTAATGAATACATAAGTTCTGTGTTGTCGAAAAAGTGATTATCGTTGCTTTGTATGAAATGGCAGCCTTGATTACGGGAGTTGTAGTCGGCTTGGTGTACCCACGTTCTGGTCAGATTGCCCACCAGTGGGGTCTATCAAAATGGAGCACTTCTGGAATATTTCTCATTTCTGGTGAGGCCAGCACTCAACATGATTGCTACTGGAATCACCTTTCTAATGATTGTTCTATATTTCTGAGTCATGTTGTGGAGCACATGTTCGCACAATCAGGTAATTCTTCAGAGTGGTAGGTTTGAGAACAGATGCTACCTTTGCTAATACTACGTGCTGTTGATGTGAAACTCAGGGTTGACTTTGAAAACCGGAGATATGCTCAAGGTAGCCAGTGCGTGGCCAGCTGCATTGTTTGGTGTTGTAAGCAACCGAAGCTTCTTTCTCTAATGTTCATTCTAATCTATGTGCTTGTTGGTTCAGTATTCTATGCTTAGGGCAGGATCTGGGGTCAGTTTGTACGTGTAGTATTGCCTTTTCAAGTTATTGTTTCGAGTTTCGAGACACTAGAAGGCACATTTTTAAGGTATCTGTTCTCATATGCAGTCTAGAAAGTTGGTACCTTGAGATTACTTGCGAGACTTGGCACGGTGCCACATTTTTTGATCGTTTTGTTGCGTTTCGATCATCCTTGATAAGAGAAAACTCTTAGCGCCTCAACTGTTTGTGAGTTAAGATGCTTGGTCAAATGTACGCGTTTACTTGAACAAGACATAATGTGTCGTGGCTCTACTATCAACTTTTGCAGGTTTCGATTCTGTTCATTACTCCTTTAGCAGCCCTTCCAATCTTGCGCCTTCAGCTAAATCCTAAAGAACTTGCTACAGGTTCTGCGTAAACTGTTAACAACTAGGGTGAATGAACAGTTTTTTTCCTGACAAATCCATATTGAATAGTGTAAGCATTATAATTATCTGAAAATACTAGAGGAATCTCATAGCTTGATTCTATGTATTAGAACATACTTTTGGATGCAGTTGAGACGGGCATGACATGGTCAGTGCAGGGCTTGCAATCTTCTGCTGTGTACCCACGACTCTCTCGAGCGGTGTATCCCTGACGCAGGTATGATAGCTCTCCCTAATCATCCTTATTGTTTGGCTGTCAATTGCGGGTACATCATGAAACCATCATTTCTGTGGCATGTTAATTTGCTCAAATCCACCTATGTGTGAATGAGCGACAGGTTGCAGGAGCAAACACTGCATTGGCTTTAGCTCTTACCATAACAACAAACCTCGGTGGCATATTAACTGTAAGTAACCTTATGCCAGTTGTACATTATATATGTATTCTTCTCATGATTGGACGAACCAAAATTGAAACTCATATTTGTGTCTTATTTTTTAGTAACATGTTAAGATATTCTAAATCCTCTTAAATTATGAAGTCTAGAATTGTAGTGAGTTACCAGGACCAGATCTTTTTAGTCAGATATTCCACCTTGCATCAAAAATCATAGGTCTTGCAAAGATCTTGAGTACATTTCCTAGTTGTGGAGCTTTTTATGGTGTATACCGTAATCATGATGTCTTACTGGATGCAGATGCCATTTTTGCTATCTTCTTTGGTTGGTCAGAGTGTTGGAATCACTCTTCCTGCAGGCCCTCTTCTAAAATCCTTGGTGGAGACGTTACTCTTACCCCTTTTACTCGGGAAGGTACAAACTCTTTACTTAAGACATTCATTAGTGACTCCAGCCCTAAGTGGATTTTATTTGTGCCAACTGAAGCAAAGAAAGCAGCAAATTGACAAAAGTTTGAACGTCTTAAGGATGTAAGTAATTGTCAAAATACTTGGAACAACTTCTCTTTGTTCCCACAGGTGGCTTTTTAATAATGTAGATTTATCTTTAGCTTATTCGACTTGGACAGAATGCCCTGATTGGGGTATGTTTTGCAATTTTCTGCAGATGATACGAGAATTTTCTGGTAAGAGCTGGACTTCCAATTGCTTTTGTGGCAATCGTTGCATGAGGTTGATATCACCGACTGTCGGGGCTTTGTTGTTACGAATAGTTGAGCAGCAACTTCCTTAGTTCACTTCTGCACGTAATTAAGTTGAACCAGTGGGTTCTAAATTGTTGCTCATTCTGGGAACGCGCAGGTTATGCGAACTTATTAGACGAAAAGAAGCGATATATGTCGATGATCAGCAGTCTCTTGCTTGGCCTTGTATGTGGTCTATTTCCTGTTTGGATGTAACATTGAGGATTCACATAAATCACTTAGCATAATGCCCAGTTTAGGAATGCGATTCTCAAAAGCCTTGTACGGATGACTTGTTAAAGTACTGTCTTTGCATCAAGTCTTGTATGTCATCACGCTTTAGTAAAGAGATGCGTTATGTCCTGAATTAAGCCTGTGTAAGTAAATTGAAATGTGATTGATTTCAGGTACCATGGATGCAAACAAGTTGTTCGAGAGAAATGTTACTCTTGGTGGACCCAATCCAGCTACTAGCTTCCATTTTTTGTGGCATGTACGTATTCATATAGGGATTGCTTCTAGTGTACACGAAGGAATTTGCAAATTGAAAGCAATTCCATGGTCAGAATCTTTAGTTCTTGTCATCACAATTCTGCAGATAACTAATTTACTGACCTTTGACATGTTGGGAAGTAAAACTCTTATAATTGTGCTGCTTGTTTTTTTCATAAAACTTGATGTGGAATCTTGCAGAGCTTTGCATGCAGTGTACGTCATATTTAATACTACTGTAATGTGGTTCTTCCCTGCGTATTGGGGCAATAAGGGTGGTGACCAAACTTCAGCAGCACGGGCAGTGATTCTCGTGGCCAGTCAGGTGCAGTTTTATTAAATTTCTTCACTGCAACCAATGCTCTTAAACCGATAGAATTTTTGATACTTGATCAAAGACTACTTGAGTTCTGCTATAACATCCAGTTTGAACCTTGATGCAGAAAACATTGCCAGTTCTCGTAGCAGTGGTGGCAAAACTTAATGGCGCTTTAGGGGAATCAGGCTTGCTGGTGCTACCCTGTATAGCCACGCATCTGAGTCAGGTTATTGCCCTTTGTATCTTGATTTAGGCAACCTGGAGGTGGTTACAAAACTTGAATTTCTGCATTAGTGATTGACTTAATCAGTGAAATCTGCATGCGATGGTTGTTCTTATTCCAGTTCTGTTGCTGCATTGTGTGTGCTGCAGATACTCTTCGACTCGGTACTCGTCGGTTACTGGCTGGATTCTGACAAATCGGCCAATAAGAAAACTGCTTGATGTGGTGCGACATGCAAGCCAAGGGTGCAATGTACACAACTTTTGCTATATATTTTGTATTCCAATTTGTGTTGAATTATGTGGATTTTAAGTGCAAATAAAATATTGATCCTTAATTTTGACATGACGTTCTACAACCTATAGTGATTATCAACCTGAAGACTCAGCTAGATCATATTTCCACTTCGGAAATTATTCTAATTGTTTTTCCCTTCACAGTTTATGACAATAATGTTTTTTTTCAAGGACCAAAGAGTTATTCTAGTGTAGTATTACGAAATACAAGCATTGATCATAGCCATGTTTTGTTACAGAAAACAATTATGCTTTCGAAGCATGTTGGATCATTTCATTGAATACTTGTTAGGTCCAATTTTTTGTAATATAATGAATGTATTATTCCTTAAACTTCTATTAGTTTTACCTCTTAATTCTTTTGTTTGTTATCTTTTGAATGGAAAAGTATTAGTTGTTTTGCAATAAAAATTAAAAATAATAATTTTAATGTTAAAAATGGATAGTTTGTCAAAAACATAAATAGTTGAAATTTTGTGTTCTTTGAATTCTAAATACTTAATGATAATAACTATATTTTATGTGAATGTGTTGTTATTTTAAATTGGATTTTAATTATCATAATAACTTTTGCAATTAATAATACAAGGCATGTACAAGTAAAAGTCTACTTTGGGATATAGATTTATATTCAAAATATTTATTTGCAGTCAACTCATGTTGCAATGAGTAGTATTATTATAAACAAAATAATGGTTAATAAAAAAGAGTGAAGGTTATTGGCATATCCACTGCTTATTCATTTAATAAAATTGCATGTTAAAAAGAAAGCATACATATAGATTTTATATTTAATTGAAATATTAATTTAAAACTCTATAAATATAAAGTATAAATGATGATGTAATAAGATATTTTAATTTTTTTCTGAAATATAAATAAATAAAAAATATTTTTTATTTTTTTAAAATTAAGTTTTATGTAATATAATTAATAAATATAAATAATAGGAGTTTTCTTTTGTTGCTTTAAGGCAACAAATGTTCTTTATTGTAGATGTAAGATGCGACTTATTACACTTAATTTTTTATAGTCTATATATACATTTTATTTTAAGGAAATATTAAAATAATCCAAGATTTTATTAAATCAATCAATCCATCATTACAAAGGACATAGAATGTTAGCTTTATCTATATCAACATTACTTTAATTTACGTTTGGATTGATACAATAATTGTTTTTTAAAAATAGAATTGGTTCAATGATGGTCATATGGTTAATAACAATAATTGCTTAACAATGGCTATATTTAATAGTATCTTTTTTTTATATATATTATATATTATATATTTAGCTAATATGCTACTCACTTTGTATTGTATTATTATAATATGTTTGATATTAGATTTAGTTTTTAAAGAACAAAGAGGTTTACTTTTAGATTATTTGAATTTTGTAACAAATGTTGTATTGTATATGTCTTATTCACTTGAGGGAATTTTTTATTATTTTGAAGATATGAAAGAGAATATAATGAGTTTGCCTATATTTAGGGATATATTGTTTGTAAGCCCCAATTTAACAAAGATTGCATTGATTTTAAAAATGATAGAAGAAAAATGTATATTAAGCAAACTAATCTCATATGGTTAACAACAAATTGGTTATTTGGGTGTCTTTTTGCATTGCTTGCACAATATATTCAAGATACTATATAATGGTATTTAACAATACAAAATGGTAAATACAACCATGGCTCTTTATCATCTCTTATAAGACATTTAATTGCATGAAAACTCTAACCAATAGAAAAAAGAGATGGCAACTCAAATCCTTGTATGAGATATATCACCAAAAATAATATTATAAATATATTATATTGTTGTGTTATAACATGTCTATTAGGTGAAAAAAAAAAGAAAATATTAAATTATAGAGAGACTTAAATAAAAATATTTTAGCAAATTATTTTTAAAATATAGATAATAGATAAGGAGGTGGTAAAAATTAATAAGTGTTAATGATGTCTTTTTATAAAAAGAGATTTCTACCTATTTTGTAGAATCACAAATGAGAGAAATCAAAGTAGTTCAGATAAATAATTGATAAAAGTATATTTAAAAAGAAGTTGAGAGTAGTTTTTAACAAAAGCTGTCTTGAAAAACCAAGAATTAATATCCAAAGAAGACTAGTGATAAACTTGAGTTGAAATCAGATTCTAAAATACAAAACTACACACTTACAATAATTTTGAGGTTTTTTTATTCATCAAAGAATACAATTGAGGAGAGGACTTTAGATGGATTGTTTAGACTTTGATTTCAAGTCATTTAAATAGATATTGAGTTTTTGAGGGCTTTTCAAAGTAAAAGATGTATTTAATGGTTTTGGATTTTGAGAAATAAAAAGAGGTTTACAAATTTAAAGATTGTATGAATTGGAATTTGATTTAGAATTTTGGATTTGGTTTAGGATTTAGGATTTGACTAAGATTTGGTTAGGGTTGATTTAGGATTTCATTAGAATTTGTTTAGGATTATATTAGGATTTGATTAAGGTTCATTTATAGTTTTTATTTTTATTGTTTTTGATATTTTGATTTTATTATTTCTTTATGATTTTTTAATATATATATTTTATAAGGTTAATTTATTTCTTTATTTTTTCTGTAATTTCTTTAAGACTTCTTTTTAATTTGATTTAAGATTGATTAACATTATTAAGATATAATTAGAATTTTTTCAAGATTCTATTAGAATTGTTAGGATATTGTTGTTGCAAATTCCATTTTATCTTCCATAGCTAAGTACCACATGCATTCTCAAGTAAACTTTATGAAATACGAAAATGAGAAAGAAACTATAGAAGTTAAAATATTCTACATACTATTTATAATGATTGTCAAAGATTTCATCAAATTGTGCTTGATGGTTGTACTTTGATTGTGTCACTTATGAAAATTCTATGTAATAGTGTCATATAGTAACACAACTATATGGTGAAAAATAAAAATATGTATGTTATTATAAAAGAGTCTAGTAGAAAGATATAATAGAAAAACAAAGATAAATAATAAGAAAGTAATAAAAACTTTAGACTTAATGCTCTTTTTTTTTTTGAAGAGAATTCTATTTGCTTTGTAGGAGCATAAATGAGCCAAATCAAAGTAAATAAGATAAGTAATTAATTTAGGCATGTTTAAGAAAATATTAAGAATAGGATTTAAAAAGAATTATCTAAAAATGTGAAGAATTAACATCCAAAGAGAATTAGTTGTGAATCAAGGTTGAAATCAGACTTCAAGATACAAAAGCAAGCACTAATTGCAACTTTGAGGCTCTTTGGTTGATTAAAAAATGGGATTTGAAAGCAAAAAAGAGAAAGGTTCTTTAAATATTAATTTCAAGTATTTTAGTACATAACAACTTTATAAAGCCTTTACAAAGTTAAAGTTGTTATTAAGTGACTTTGGATTTTGAGAAATTCAAAGAGTTTGTACTTTGGACAATTGTATAAAATTAATAGAAGATCTATTGGTAAAATTTCCTAAATAAGTAAAAATTATTATTTTTAATCTATGTTGTAAGTTTGAGCTTGATCTAACAATTTGTTCAAAGCTTATTGAAGCTTAAAGATATTGAGGTCTCGGAAATTGGAGTTTAGAGGATCAATGAGGATTTTTAAGATATCCGTCAATATACCAATTGGATTCAAATAAAAATTTGCATAGAAGTAATAAACTTCACTTCTAACATTTGTATAAAATTTGAGATATATTAAATAGAAAAATTAAGAGATTTTGGCTCTAGAATATTGGCATTAAGATTGGAGAAGGAGGCCAATTAATACCAAAGTAAATTTTAGGAGTTATTTTTTATTTGATATGTTTAATCTTCTTCAATTTTTTTTTGTACTTTTTGCTAACTTAGTTATTAAAAAAAATAAAAATATTTAATTGAAAATAATAATTAAATCATTAGTTATTGAGATTACTATTTAGAGAATGATTGGATTAAGATTTGTTGTAGCATTAGATTAGAGTTTGATATAGGATTGAATTAGGGTTTGGTATAGGATTGGATTAGGATTTGATCTAGGATTGGATTAGGATTTGATCTAAGATTAGATTAAGATTCGGTCTAGAATTAAATTAGAATTTGGTCTAAGGTTAGATTAGGATTTTTTCTAAGATTTGATTAGGCTCTAGTTAGAGTTTCATTAGGATTTATTAGGATTTTATTAAGATTAGTCTAAGTTTTAAGATTTTATTAGGATTTAATTAAGACTTAATTAAGTTTTACTTAGAAATTACTTAGATTTTATTTATAATTCTTATTTTTAATATTTTTATAAGATTCTTTGTTATTTCTTTAAAATTTTCTGTTTTTAATATTTTTTTTAAGATTATGATTCTTTTAAGTTTTTTTTTAATATTTCTTTAAGATTTTTTTATTATTTTTCTTGAAATTAATTATGAATTTTTAATATTTCTTTTGTAAATTCTTTTAATTTTTTTTTAGATTGAATAAAGTTTGATTAAGATTTTTAAGGATTATTTAAGTTTTATTCAAAATTCTATTAGACTTGATAAGATATTAACAAGTCTAATAAGATATTATTGTTGTATTTCTATTTACCTTCCATAGTTAGGTGCTCAATGCATTCTCAAGCAAGAATACACATAATACAACAACTATTCATATCAATTTAATTATGAATGTGATAAAAGAAACAAAGTAATATTTATTTATTTTTTTGCACATGCAAAATATATTGAATTAGCAAAGAGATATACATCTTTTATTATTATAGATTATATTTTTAAGACAAATTGATTAATATATATATATATATATATATATATATATATACATATATTGCATGAAATAGAAATAGTCTATTTTAATACCTCTTTTATAAGTGTTGTTGCTTTTTTCCAAAAGTATTTTTTTATTGAACCTTAATTCAACTTTTACAATTATATAAAAATATTACATCTACTTATATTGGATGTGATAGAAGTTTGGCATTAAAATATACCATTGAAAATATTTTTCTTACTTCTAATGTTTTACTTTGCATATAGCACATTCAAATAAATGTTTTAGCAAATAGTAAGAAGTATTTTACCAAAGAGATAGAAGCATGTTAGTTTTGATTTATGGCATATTAAACTAATGCCATAAATACTTCTTTTGAGATGCTTTACAATCAAGAATAGACTATTTTTTCTACCAAGTTTATTCCTACCAATAGCCATGTAATTATTAAGTATTTGAAAAATACTTGGATACTACAAAAAAATATATTTTGTTAAAGCTTAGACAAATAATTATCTTTATTTAGGAAGTGTTACTACTTCTAGAGTTGAAGGTCAATATTTAGCTTTCAAATCATATTTAAAGATTTCTACCAAAGATTTATAAGAGGTACAATATTTTATTTTATTTTATTTCAATTATTTAAAAATACAACAAGAGAAATTAATGCATAAGAAAGTTTAGAAAAGACTCGTGTATGTTTTCAATATACAATTTTCTTCTTTATAGATGTTGTAAAATAAGTGTCTATGTATGCATTCAACCTTGTCTTTAAGCAATTTAAATGTATAAAAGAGATGCTTGATGTTAATACTTATATATGTACATTGACAAAGATATTAGAAATAGGATGTAAGCATAATATTTCAAAGGATGTAGCATACTAGAGATATTTTGTTAATGGAAGATTTTCATGCTTAAAATTATCTAATAAAAATTATTGGTCTAATACCTCCTTTGCCACCAAAAAAATGAATTTGTGTCTTTTAAAGACCTTCACATTGTCTTCAATGTCATTGGCCTATCTTTTGAGTTATTATTCCTTTATCAACATAAAAGAATGTGTATTCAATTATAAAAGCTTGTATCAACATCTATGAAATTAAAAAATTCAGAAATTAATCACCTATAGAGCCAATTATGTAGAGTAGTTTATTATATGAGATACAAAAAATTCTCTACACAATATATAGCTTCATAGTTTGAAGTTGTTGAAGTAGCAACAAATGTTTGGCATTGTAAGAATTGTCAAGATCAAGGATACAATGTGCATACTTGTTCTATCCAAAATATTATAGTATAATAAGTATATATAATTATATATCAATTATAATAAAATATATAATAGCTATATATAGTTACTTATCTAAAAAATAGATTAGCTTGTATGTAGGTAGTGAAAAATTAGTTTATTTAGACATGTAAAGAAGGATTCATGATCATGATTATGCAAGATATATACTTTCAATTCTTACAAAAATTGACATATTTATATTTATTTAGAAAATTTAAAATAACATGCATAAACATATGTATAGTCTTTAAATAGAGCATAATATTATAAAAACAATATGTATATAATAAGATGCATGTTTTTTTTTTGTTTGTGTGGCTTTAAATTATCTAATATCTTTGATTATTTTATTTTCTTTGTGATGTAGCTTCTAGCTTGATCTCTCTCTTTAGTAAGGATTTGTACAAAAAATAAATAAAAAAGAATATATTATATAAGTCTAATAGCCAATACGTCACAATTGAAATCATGATTGGTATTACCAATAGCCATAGATTTGCATACTATAGCTTTCGATGCAAATTTATTCCATCACCAATATTAATAACCAAAGAGTAGAAGAAAATTCAAATTGGATTATAAAAACATATTAAGAGTCAATATTAGATACAATCTCTACAATAGTGGAAAGAAAAATCACAACTTAATGTATTACACCTAATATATTTAATTAGTCCCTCTAAAGTTTTTTTTAATAAAACTATCAAGTAAATAAAAAAATAAATAAAAAAAATCATGCAATCAATTGGTTTTCTTGTTTTACATATTAATTACAAAGACAAAAGATTCATCTAGGTTAGAATATTAGAAACTATGCAAATGTAATAAAATATTGTCTATTAAAATTGGAGAAAACACCTTAAAAGATTGATATCTTATCTTAATTGAATAGTGTAGATAATATCAATGATTGCCAAAAAGTTCCCACAGTATTGATGATGTTAGATTGTAATTGCATTAAAACCTATTGTTGCTAAATTTGATGGCTTGAAGATATTGTTATTTCATCTCCATTGCCAATTTCAAGTTCCTTCTACACATAAAAATACAAGAAGCAACAATGACTAACCAATGAAACAAAAGTCAAAAATTGTTGAAACAATGATTCAAATTATACTACTATAGCACAAGTTGAACTCTTAATAATCTAGAATTACATTGAAGATTCAGATACTTCACACAAACATCCATGAAGATTAGGATAGACCTAAAGTTTTTAAATAACTTGTGATATGATTATACTACAACTACTTTGGTGCTCCTATAGCAATCAATGATACAACTTCTCTTATTACATATACTAGACTAATTTAAGTCAATAAAAAAAATATAGTTATCTCTATGATTTGCAATAAATGTTAATATATTACTGTTGAGAGAACATGAATAAGTTGCATTAGGATCTTGTATGTTGTAGAGCTAAATAGTAGATTTTTTGGAGAATGTTTTTAAAACAATCTACAACAAAAAGAACATACAACTTCAATAAACCATAATCATATCAAATGTCTTAAAGGATTTTAAAGACATTAGCATTATCTTTCATGAAGTTGAGGTTGTTAGCATGATTTTGTATGATAAAATCATCAATTTGAGATGTTTAAGAATCTGCACTCTAATTTCTATCACATGATATAAATGCTAAGAAAATGACAATTTAGTACAAAGAGACTCAAAATATCAAATATGCTTTGCACAGTAGTGATAATGATAGAAACTATGATGTGTCCATAGAAAAAGAGCCAAGTAGGTAAGAATATTAGTCAAATACTAAAAATAGCCCTACAATAAAGAAATCAAAGAGAATTTGAGTGATTTGAGTATGAGTCACAAAAAAATCAATTAAAAGGAACTGGCCACCATAGTGGGGCCTTTCATACCATGTGCTTGCCATCACCATCTCTTTCCATCTTCCTTTGTCTCAATCAAGGTAGTTGTACTTACAAAACATATTTTCCTACAAATTCACAATTGCTACTTGTTAATTCCAAAGTTTGGTAATGTTTTCATATTTCAAAGTTTGAACAAGATTCAACTTAAAGTAAAAACAAACAACACTTCTTTGACAGCATAATCTACACTCAACATTATAATACAGAGCAATAAAAACAATCATATTAAATAAGCATCACAACAAATTATGGATCAAAAGAGCTAGTATGCATGATAAGCTATAACTTGTTTAAGATGAGGTGACAAGCCTTGTACAGTCTTGATCGCTAATTAGAGCTTTGTAATGATAGCTTGGCTAATAATGATAGCACTAATTTACCCCAAGAATGAGGCATGAACATAATAATGGCACTGAACTACTGCAACGACAAGACAAGAGCTCTAGATTTGTCTCTATTTTTCTTTTAAATAAAAAACTAGGGTGTTTTTTGCAAGAAGAAAAAGATTGAGCAGCCACCATGATTGTAATAATGATTAGGATAATGATGAATGTGGTAGATTTTCATTAGTTGTGGATCTAGTAGTAAATAAACAAATTTAGAGATTATTTTTTTTCATGATGATTAGGATGGGTGAATCAGTTTTAGTAAAACCTTGGATTATTTTATAATTCTCTTATTTTATTTTTATATTATTCTATATATAGAATATTTATATCTATTAATTAGTAGAATAATAACCAACTAAAAAATCTTATTGATATGATTTTAAAAAAAATTATTTTATTTTTTGTTTTATTTTTGAGGATGATATTATAAGTTTATTGATATTTACACACACACAAGAAATGGGAGACGTAAATAAGTTTTAATGAAAATATAGAAATAAGGTCGAAGATGTCATAAAATATTTTTTAAATTTACAGAAAATTAAGTTATAATGTGAATATGAGTAATATGTACATATATAAACATTCATCCATTTCAAGAAACAAGTGAAGTCAATAGAAAATATGTTTTTTTTTGTTTTATTCTTTTCAGCACTTATTTGAAAAAGAAAGAAAGAAAAAGAATATTCATTTCAAAATTTCAGCTTTTAAGCCAAGATTTTTATGTATATGTACAGAGAAAAAGTTATTGCCACATTTCTGTATGAAAATTTGTGATCATCATTTCGGAAAACTTTACGTCCATCAGTTAAACTTGCGGTCAAAACAGTGTTGTGTTTAACCCAAATGTGAACTATGAAAGAATCTGTGCTATTATGCAAGATTATGACTTTCTAAAATTGGGTGTTTCAACCTCAATCATCAACGCTTTAAAAATGGTCAAAGTACAGACTCATGCAAACTTAAATAAAAATTCAATGTCATCAACCATCCACCATGCACACACACACATAAAAATCAGCAGAAGAAAACAAAAGCACTGACGCAGAAAAAGAGCATTGAAAGCTCCAACCAAGCGCATGCTCTTGAAACGCAACAACCATGAAACCCTAGTGTTGTTTTTTGTTTATAGTTTGTTTGTACTCCTATCTATCTATCTATCTATCTATGTATATAATAATACATTGATGGAGATTTCCAATGCAGCCATGAAAAACAAAAAGAATGGTGGGCTAACTCATGAGGGCCCCACTTGCCCAACAAAGGCAAGGAAAAGGGAAGAAGGAAGAAGAAGAAATGGTGCTCAGATGCATTCATTCCATGCTGCACCCAACAGACGAAGCTCCCCCACACACACACACTCTCTGTCTCTCAGATCGATCGCAGTGGGAAGCAGCAGCAGCGTCACCATGAGAATATGGATGCATGCTCCATGCGCGCATAGTAAAGTAGTAGCAGCAGGGCCACAGCGGGGAATGAATGAAATGAATGAATTAATTAATTAATGCAAGAATGAATAAGAACAGCGGTAGTAGTATTTATTATTATGTTTAATATTGTGAGGCCTTGCTATGAAACAAAACAAATCAACGAGAGAGAGAGCATTATATTGGTCTGGTCTCGGGACCCACTCACTCGTAGTTATGGCCTTCGGAACAACAACTACCTCTCTTCCTCCCTCCCTCTCCCCACCCCAAAGTACAGCACCAGCATCGGCACCAGCAGCGACGTCGTTCCAGCATCGGACTTAACTCCCACGCTCACTCCCTCCCTCCCTCCCTCCCCATGATAATAGATGATGATAGATGATAATAGATGATGCCACGCCAGGGCTTGTTTTTCTTCTGCTCTGACGTTGATGAGGAGGAGGAGGAACGCTTCGGAGGAGGAGGAAGAGTGAGGGAATAAAAGGAAAATACAACAAATTACAAAATTTTGATTTGTATTAGGAGCTTGTGGTTTGCTTGCCGTAGCTTGTAAGTTACATGGGGGCCTAGGGGTTCGAGGAGACAGGGACCCTGCAGCAACAACCCACCACATGGCACCAATTGCCAGGGAGCAGTTGGAAGAGACTAAGACTAAGCACAGACCTCGCGATGCGGTGATAGATTCGCGATGTTGATTGAGGCTTTGCTTTTGATCCATTGTAGAGTTCGTTACTTTTCTTCCTCACGGTGGTTCTGGTTTTCGTTCGTTTAGTGCGAGACAACAATCAGTTGCATGGTGTGGGGTGGATATCTTGGACTTGATTGTACTTGCAAGGTTTATGTACTTGCTGGTTGTTAGGGTTTCGAGTTTGGAGGAGAGGAAAGGTTGGATCCTTAGAGAGGGTGAGGTGATGAAGGGGTGGAGCGATGGTGTGGCGGTGATTGGGGACGAGGATCTATGAAGTGGCAAGTGGAAGGTGAGGGATTGTGATTGTAAGGTGTAGAGAGGGACGAAGGCGATGCATTTGGGGATCTTAGCAGGTGTATGCACTGGCGCACATGTGGACGATCGAGACTAGGAATTGCGGGCCAGGAGCATTTGGGCATTGCAGGCACAGAGAGACTTTAAGAACTTTGGAGAGGAGAGTGAGGGCGAGAGAGGATTTGGCTACTTGATGAGGGCGCTGGAACTGGGAGGTTTCGAGAGATTGATAATATTGGCATGAGATTGAGTTAGGCCGTGAGGACTTTGTGCATTCGGAGTGCATGAAGCGCGAATGTTAACAGTAGGTAAGAAATGCAACAGATCTCGTGGCAGATTTCATCGCAACTGAAGTGCTATGGAAGGCGAAACCGTGCAAAGCCTGAGCCCTCGAGCGTCGAAAGTGGTCCTCCTCTGGTCAAAGATGTTAGAGGTCTAACACCCGTGAAGAAGGTTTCGCCCACTCCAACAAGTGATCAGGCGGTGGATGTTTTTGTCGCGCAGGTGAAGAAGCCGCATGCAGGTAGGGGTAGACCTAGAAAAGTTGTTGGTGTCCCTAAACAGGGAGTAAAATCTCTTAGCGATGTGGTCACCAAGAAGATGCCGGCAACAAGAAGTTCGGCAGGTAAGCCTGTCGCGTTTGTCGCGTCTGACGGCAGGGAGGTTGCGAAGGATTCGATTTCTATTGAGGAAACAGTTCCCGAGGGGAGTTCCTTGAAGACTCTGGTGCGGTCTCAGGATAAAGTGCCAGTTAGAGTGAGAATCGTAGGTCCGTTTAGCAATGGAGGCTCTAAGCATGGAAGGGATGAGAGCTTTGGGTCACTTTCTTCTGGTTCTCAGAAATCTAGGGGGCAAATTGTGAGACAGGAGGCTCAGCGAGCTGCAGATGACGAGACTTCCGATGGATTGCAGCCGAATCAGAGAAAAAGTGATGGATTGGCCGCTAGAGATGAGAAGATTTCTTGTAGGAGGGAAATCGAAAGAAGTTCAATTCATGAGAAGAAAGTTGCGGAGGAGCAGGTCATTGATAAGAGGGAGGAGGGGCAAACTGTTCCTGAGAAGAAAAGGACTGCACATTTTCATTATGGGAGGAAAGATGCAGTGGAACAGGTAATTGACAAGAGAAATCAATGGTTACCTGTTACTGAAAGAAAAATGGGTGGAAAGACCCATCATGATATTCATGAGACGGGGGAACAGGTGATTCATAAAAGAGGTGAGGGGCGTTATATTTTTGAGATGTCAGCGGGTGGTAAGTCTCAGCGTGAGAGAATAGATGGAGAACATTCAACTCGAGGCAAACATCCATCTGCTTCGGAGGGTACCTTGGCATCTCGTCGGCGATTCATGGCTTTGCGAAGACGTCAACGCGAGGACTTGCTGCTCTCTCGAGCGGATGAAATTCTTCTCAAGCAAGAGGTGTGGATCTTTTGTTAGTTCCAATTTCCGATGCAATTACTTGTGCAATTTCACTCGCAGAATGTACAAGATCTTAAGTCATCTTACCCGAATACTTGAACATGAACTAATCGGACCTGCTTGTATATTCGATGTGAGCATGTTTCGTAATTCGAGCAGGCAGTTCTTGATGATGCTTATATCTTTCTCGATTTTTTCTTCCTTCTCTATGCAGCATTGCATTAGCAAATTACTTACCTCAATCCAGCTGGGTTGTAGTTGGATCTAAGGGTCGGTTATTATTACAAGTAGGAGACCAATGTTTTCGACATCGTTATCATAGTTGATAGAGGATTATTAAACATGGTAGTTGTTGTGATGCATCGTCATAGATGCGAAATTAAAAATTTCCACCAAGGCATCGCAGAGGTATTTTGAGGTATGAGCAAGCTCTCTGACATGTTAAACCTGACTCCTTAATGCAGTTTTTGGAGGCGAATAAAGACAAAAAGGTTCAGCCAAAAAGTAAGAAACCAGCCCGACCCAAGACGCACTGGGATTTTGTAATCGAGGAGATGACTTGGCTCGCTAAAGTGAGCATGTTTTTATGTTTCATTTCTTTGCATGTTCCTTAACGTCTACTTACGTATCAGGAAGTTTCATGATCCTCGGCTCTGATGGAAAATGTCTTGAAATGTTGCTTCATGACCATGAACTTTTCTTTCAGTGTGCTTACATGCCCACGATCGCACCACATTACTTCTTGCATACATTTTAAGACAATGTTAAAGTATGAAGTATAGCCTTTTGTAGAATAAATTTTCTGGTGGTAATGGCAGGATTTTGAGAGAGAGCGCAAATGGAAACTAACTCAGGCTAAGAAGATCGTATTGCGAGTAAATAGGAGTAAGCTGGATGTTGTAGCAAGGGAAACCGACGACTAAAGGTTGGATATTCCTGCAATCACATGAAGAGTGCAGTTGTGAACAACGTGTGGTCTTTTCTGAGAATTTCATGTGGAGATTTTAGAACACGCTCTAAGCTAAGTGTTCGAAGAAATTTCTGAAAATACTTCTGGTACATCAGGAAGAGGAACAGCGAATGCGAAGGGTGGCTAGTAATATTGCTAAAGATGTCAAGAAGTTTTGGTTAAAAGTGGACAAGCTGGTAAAGTGCCTTTTGCTCGGATCGACCTTGTGATGCAAGCATATCGACTAGATTATTTTAACGTGGACATTTTCACACTTTTCTACCTGCGTGTTTAAGTTAAAAACTGGTATTTCATCTTGTTCACATGCTGGTAAAGTTTTCATTGGTGAAAATGAGTACATTCTTTCCTTGTTTGTAAAGGGTAGTGTTAGGTCATGCATCCATTTTATTACACAGTATAAATGTTGCTATCATACTCATGAGATCTTTTTTCTGTGTGTACGACATCGTGGTATTTGTGGGTAGCGTTCCGTATGAAACACACTCCTACTCCTTTGTTACAGATGACGGAAAGTATTGCTAGTGCTCCGATAGTATGCTTCGAAAACGGTTGTTATCATGCTAGTATTAATGTCTTCAATTTGGATCTTCTATTGTTCTTGACAGGTGTCCTATAAGCAGCAATTACTGGTTGAGGAAAGAAAGAAGAAGGCACTTGACAAGCATCTGGACTTCTTATTAGGACAAACGGAAAGGTAAAATTGTTGTTACTTATCATGTATACTGAGTTATTATATGGATAACTATCTATGGTATATTTTTATAGGTTGTGGCATTCTTGTGGCTCCCAATATGTTTTAGTTTTTACCGCAATGCTTGAGTTCCACTGAAAAGGAGAATGCTGAAACCTTTTCCCTCATAATTTTTTCCAGAAGTCACAGTCTCCCGTCTAGCGGAGGCAGTTTTGATGAATCTTAGGTAGAAGAGTGGAGTGGTTTACACTTTCTGTTGCTCGTGAGCCCATTTTAAGGTTCTGAAGCTATGTAAGAAGAATGAAATTAAGTGCCGGCCTTATAGTAATTTTTGCAGATATTCAACAATGTTGGCTGAAAACCTTGCTGATAATACAACTGCACATGAGCCACAAAGCCATCAACCATTTCCTTCATTGTGTAAGGAAGTTTCTAGTACGGATATACAAGTGCTATCAGTGCTCTCAGAGCAGATTAATGTTTCTGGTGAAGCTGAGAAGCTAGAAGGAGCTGTGCGAATGGAAGTTGAAGGTGATGATGAATTCATTGTAGAGGACAAAGATGAACAAGTAAGCATGTGGATTTTTAATTCGATCGGAATCTACTCTTATGCCGTAAGCTCGCTTGACTGCCTGGCAAGTGACAATTGATAAATCGGTTGTCTTTTATAGGCTTTTCAATCTTCGGATACAACCTGTTGTTTTTTTGTAGCTTAACCTTGACATTGGCAGGAGGATGACGAAGCTACATTAGAAGCAGATGAAGCCTTGATAACGGAAGAAGAAAGGAAAGAAGAGCTTCTTGCATTGCAAATAGAGAGTGAGCTTCCACTTGAAGATCTTCTCATTGCGTACAAACTTATGAGAGGTTGGTCTTTGTTATGGCTTATTGCAATTTACATTAGGTTGCACAACATGAACTTCAGCATGGTCTTGTCCATTGCATGGGGCAGGTTAGCTTTATTTTTTCCTTTCTCTGGCCTATTACGCTTTTCTAGAACGTGATATTTTTTGTAATTACAAAAGTTCCGACTTTGTGCTACTGTTGTTTAATACTCTGATTGGCAAAATAGATACCACATCTATGTGAAACGTGCATAGAATTTTGTATTTTCTAGAGTGGAATTGATTAATTATAGAGACTGGATAAGAGTTGCGGTATTAAAGAAGATTTTAAGAATTTATCATGTCGTGCATTTTCTCAGGGGATTCTGCCAGTGAGGCAGGTGACGATGAGGACAAAAATGGTGAAACAGATCAGGAAGATGACGATGATAAAGAAGAGAAGGTAGTAGAGGGTCCTACATATGTTACACCTGTTGAGGAGTCCAAGAAAGGGACTTCTGCAGCTGCACATGATATAGGATCGCTTGGACAGCCTGATTCCGTTGAGGGATGCTTGGGTTCATCGGATGACGGACCAGTTGATGTTAATGCTGCAGTGCCCCAATTGCTGGGCAAGAAAGAAAAGTCCTCCGAAGTGGGTGCTGTTGATAAAGCTTTGTTGAGCGATGAGGCACCAGCTGTTCTATTGGGTTCAGGCGAGATTATAGAAGTAGATATGGCTGGGCCTGTCGTTGACCTAGTAGCAAGTGAGACAGATGAAAACTTAGCAAAGCTTGTTGTCGGGGTTACCCATCGCAATACTATTGGTGCCTTCTTAACTCAGGTTAAACCTCAGAAACGGAGACATCTTAGTCCAAAGTCTTTGCAGCATCAGATTGGAGAGTTGCAGGTATGCACTGCTGTTAATTGCCGATAAATTGTAGAAATCATCTGTGCATTTACGTGGGATGTGTTTCTAGCCAATTTCTTCAACAGAGCCTGAAATACTTTTTTTCTTTTTCTTTCTAGATTCAAAGTGTATGGTGGTTGTAACAATCTGTCAGCCAACTATCGTCAGTTGTTAGTGATGTGTTTGCTTTGGTATCCGTGATCGTCAAAATCGTCTGGGACTGTGTTAGTGCCAATGAGTTGTTTGCAGGGAGTCTAAAGAGATAAAGCCTATTTACAGGTATTTGGTTAACATAACAATTGTATCAAGTTTGATCGAGGTTAGATATGGTTTTATTTTCGCAGGACGATAACGAGTACATTCCCGCTCTGTTAGGAGATGAGGATGTAGAGGTAAATTTTTGAATCTTTAGCGACGATCAGCTCTCTGACATTTTCGTTTACTGCAAATAAAGCAGCCTTTGCATATCTTATTGAATGATGCTGCACTGTCTGAAATTCTTATGTTCTTGTGTAAGGAAATTTACGAATGCTGTTTAATTATGATTAGTCGGCTTTTTGCTGTGCTAAGTTCATTTGTGTTCAACGCTTGTTGTCGTTGTGGTGATGGTGGAAGAAGCTACAGCTTTTCTTGTGTATTGCTCAACCAACCATTGTACAATTATCGAGCGATGTGCTGAGAAGGCCTCTATGTTGTCTACTTCGACTTGAAACTATGGCTTAAAGCTTTAACTACTGTTTTTGTGCTGGTTGATATAGGATGACGACGAACGAACCTTAGAGGAAGAGGAACGCATTGCTATGGAAGAGGGTGACAGAAATATCAATGAGGTAATTATCATTTTTCGCTACCATTTTGCTGTCGTATTCTTTTCGACTTTTAGTTGCAACATTGGATTGTTGTCCATCCCCTCTTATCTTGTTGGTCACCAAGTGGTAATTTGTATCAAGTTATCTGACGTTATTTTTAAAGTGCACTTAACAAGCATGGTTTATTGGTGATTTAAATGTAGACAGGTTGGAAATTTCTAATGAACACTTGTCTGCTGGTGGGTGTAGATCAATGAACTGAAGCTCGAGAGTGAGATGCCGTTAGAAGAACTTTTAGCGAAGTATAGATGTGTGAGTGTTTGCGCCTATTTGGTCTGCTTTACGAATACTGCCAACTTTTCTAATATTTCTATTGGATTTGGAGTAACGAGCTTTTAAGGATTTCCTTGTAAGAAACAATTCTAATTTCATCAGAAGAAGCTTAGCGATTATTTCGCTGGATTAGAACAATGCCCTATTCTATTGATGGTTGCAGTTGTAGCACTTGAAATCTCATTTTCATTTAGAAATTTCCTTTTCTTTCAAATGTTTTCAACAGGATTTCTGTTTGGTTGATCTAATAAGTGTGACGGCATGTACAATTAGTTCGGTTGTTTTCTTCATGCAAGAAGTCGTTCACTTAAAACTATTTTGTTGAACTTAGTTGTAGATTGAGAACACCTAGTTGGTTAGTTAAGCTTCTGTTGAATCTGATATAACATCGACTCATGACAACAATTTGTTGTGATCAGGGTATGGACTTTGATGGGGAAGATACTAATGATTTTTCGGTCGATCGACGAGATCGGACCAGTGAAGCTGGTATTAGTGGATCTAGTAGTGACGATGAGGATGATGAGAGGGGAGTTAATTACTTCTCCGAGGCAATAGAGAGGATGGGGGAACCTAGTACAAGTGGGCGGGACTATCAGCGATTATCATCAACTGAAGTAGACAGGGAAATGAATAATTTCAATGTTATTAATACGGTGGAGGTCAAGCAAGAAGTTGTGGAGGCAAAATTGTTCGACAATAATGTTGGAGACTTCCAGAAGGTATGTTCCCCTAAGAATGAGGTAGGGTGTCTGATCAATGATTTAGGCTGCTCACAAATATCACGTGCAGGATGGTGGTGGGGGTAATGAACCATCAGCTTGTCTGTTCGTGTCACTACGCTTTTGGTTTTCATCTAGATATGCTTTGAGCTGTAGTAAAAACGCTATTTTTGTGTATCGCCGGTTGTTCATGTTCAATGCTTTATGTGTTGATTTACTTTCCCGATACGGCGTGTTGTGTTCTGCTGCGCAATGTGCTAGGTGGACGTACATGGTCGGGTATTACATCCCGATGCTCAGAGTTTGAGTAGAGATGACGTATTGGTATCCGGATCTAACAAGGATGTATCGTCTTCGACATCCTTGTTGCTCGGAGGGGATATTTTTGATGTGCTAGAGGAGACCGCAATTCCAAAAACTATAGAAACGAAGGAGAGTTCAGCTGCAGAGGATGCTCTTTCCCTACCTGCTATATCGTCTGTAGTTAACGAGGATTCTAGATCTGTTTTCGGCATACCTACATCAGACCCAGTCAAGAGTGGCAACATGCTAGGCGATAGAGGCTTGGCATGTGACTTGCAGTCTCTTGCAGTTGGGAGAGTGCAGAAGTCTGATAGTAACATACAAAGCAAACCAGAGTGCACTACTAGCATCATTTGTCATGAAACTCCCAATGAAGTTCAAAGTACCGAGGTTAAGGATCAGGTACCTGCGTTACCAGAGACTCTGGACGTTGGGGAAAACAAAAAGAGTGAGGATAGGCTTGCTGATTATGCCGCAGCTGCTCAGTCGGCGCAACCTACTGGTTATACATTTTCTACGACTCAAGTGAAGACAAAATTACCATTTCTTTTGAAGCATTCTCTTCGGGAGTACCAGCACATTGGTCTTGATTGGTTGGTTACAATGTATGAGAAGCGGCTCAACGGTATTTTAGCAGACGAAATGGGTTTAGGAAAGACAATTATGACTATTGCTCTATTAGCTCACCTGGCTTGCGAAAAAGGCGTTTGGGGTCCGCATCTAATCGTAGTGCCCACAAGTGTTATGCTGAACTGGGAGACTGAGTTCATGAAATGGTGCCCTGCATTCAAGATATTGACCTACTTCGGGAATGCTAAGGAAAGGAAGTTGAAGCGACAGGGATGGTCAAGACCTAATTCATTTCATGTGTGCATTACTACATATCGTTTAGTTATTCAAGATGCTAAAGCATTTAAGCGAAAGAAATGGAAATATTTGATACTTGATGAAGCGCATCTCATAAAAAATTGGAAATCTCAAAGATGGCAGACTTTGCTGAACTTTAATTCTAAGCGCCGTATTCTTCTTACTGGGACCCCTCTGCAGAACGATCTTATGGAACTTTGGTCTTTAATGCATTTCCTCATGCCTCACGTTTTTCAGTCTCATCAAGAGTTTCGTGATTGGTTCTGCAACCCAATAACTGGGATGGTAGAGGGCGAGGACCAGGTATCATCTTCTTCCAGTATTTAACAAACTTTGAATGTGGAGCAGAACACTAGGATGATATGCGAAAGGAATTTATATCTGTTATACTTTGTGCAAGGACTTTGAATGACTGGAATTTCATCTAATCTCAGGTGAACAAGGAGCTGGTGGATCGCTTGCATAATGTCTTGCGTCCTTTCCTGTTACGGCGTTTGAAGAAGGACGTAGAGAAGCAATTGCCTGGAAAATTTGAGCACGTTATTCGTTGCCGTCTTTCTAAAAGGCAACGAAACCTTTATGAGGATTTCATGGCCAGCTCTGATACACAAGCAACTCTTTCGAGTGGCAATTTTTTTGGCCTTATTAATGTTTTAATGCAGTTGCGAAAAGTCTGTAATCATCCTGACTTGTTCGAAGGTCGTCCTATCGTATCTTCATTTGACATGACTGGGATCAAGTTACATCTAAGTTCTGCCGCTTGCTCAGCAACGGCTATGGGTCCCTTTGATGGGATTGACTTAGGAACTTTAAATCTGCAGTTTAGTCGGCTTAGCGGAACCATGACCAAGTGGGAAGCACACGAGGTAGGCATGTTGAAGGCTCCAGGTCCATTGATCGTCGAACTAGCGGGTACTGGTGAAGACACTTGGGACCGGCATCAGTCAAAGCACAAACCGAGTAAGGAAGTTCGTACCGTCATTCAAGAGATTCATTCGTCCCTTAGGGACAACAGAGAAAGGCAACGAAGGGAAAGGCTTTTGGCAATATCAGTGCTCAATGAATTTCGTTGTAACCAGCAACCTCTTTACGGAGCCGACTTTTTGAAGAGCGCGGAGATTATTCATCCTGTCTATGATGTGCACAAGGTGAATGGTAATCCTAGGCAGTACTTAGAATTTTCAAGCATATTGTCTGATATTGTGCAGTTGCCTCTCACTCGGTGTGAAAGTATGATTGATCTGATTACTGCGTTTGTGTTCGCCATTCCGGCTGCTCGAGCTCCACATCCAGTTGCTTGGTGCAGCCATCTGATACCTGCAAGCATAGATCTAAAGCAATCAATCTCAGAAGAAGTCCTGCAACGCGCAAATTCCATGCTGGTCCCCCTCAGGCCTGTATTTGTTAGAAAGCAGTTATTTTTCCCTGATCGAAGACTTCTTCAGTTTGATTGTGGAAAACTGCAGGAGTTGGCAGTTCTACTTCGGAGACTAAAATCGCAAGGTCATAGGGCATTAATTTTTACTCAGATGACCAAGATGCTTGATGTATTGGAATCTTTCATCAATTTGTACGGTTATACGTACATGCGTCTCGATGGTTCTACCAAGCCAGAGCAGCGACAGGTTCTGATGCAACGATTTAACACTAATCCGAAAATATTTCTTTTCATTTTGTCGACACGGAGTGGAGGTGTGGGAATCAATCTTGTTGGTGCTGACACTGTTATCTTCTACGACAGTGATTGGAATCCAGCTATGGATTTACAAGCTCAGGACAGGTGCCATCGTATAGGCCAAACTCGAGAGGTTCACATCTACCGCCTCATAAGTGAGAGCACTATCGAGGAAAATATCCTGAAGAAAGCTAATCAGAAGCGGATTTTGGATGATTTGGTGATTCAGAGCGGAAGTTATAATACAGAGTTCTTTAAGAAACTAGACCCTATGGAGCTGTTTTCTGGACTGAAGGAGATCAAAGTTCGTGGAACACCAGATAAGAAATTAACATCTTTTATAACATCTTCTATCGTCTCAGAAATTACAGACGCACCTTTCATCAAAGTCTTTGAACAGAAAGAACTTTCGAATGCGGAAGTTGATGCTGCACTAAAAAATGCAGAAGATGAGGCAGATTACATGGCAATGAAACGAGTGGAGCAGGAAGAAGCCGCTGAAAATCAGGAATTTACTGAAGAGTTATTTGCAGGAAATGTGGACGAGGAAGATCTAGCAGATGACTTGGATGAAAGCGGAAAAAGTAGAAAGCTCCAGACTGATATTGCGGGCGTGGATGGTTCTCGAGTAGGGGAAAGAGCTCCAGAAGATGGTGGAACTGCGATTATAACAGAGGTCATTCCATTTGGAGAATTTTCTATCCTTCCTGCTGACCCGGACGAGGAAATGGATATGTTAGCTGATGTGCGGCAGATGGCAGCTGCTGCAGCAGCATCTGGACGAGGGAGTATCTCCTTTGAAGACCAATTGCGCCCAGTGGAGCGGTATGCAATGCGGTTTTTGGAATTATGGGATCCGCGAGTTGACAGCATGGCTGTTGTTGCGCAGGTATGTATAGTGTATACCTTTAATTTCATGAACGTTGCTTTGGGTATGATTAACTTATGCTATGATTAAGTGTATATAGTCAATGAGCACACCAGATTGTATCATAACGATGAGCTCTTCCATTGAGTATAGTTCGTCATCAACTGTGATCTTGATTTATCTAAATCTACCTTGGGTGTCGTGAATGCAGGTAGCATTTGAGGAGAAGGAGTGGGAATTGGATCAACTGGAGAAGCTGAAAGAGGAACAGGAAGCAGAAATGGACGAAGACAATGAACCTCTATTTTATGAGAGTATGTGCTATCCATTTTCTTTCGCAACATCAAGTACTTTTATTTTTATTTTTATTTTTATCACAATTCATGCTATCGGACGCTCAATTCGGAGTTGCCTATTAGGAGTTGCTAACCATACCCGCTTTGATCCGCAGTCAGTCTCTAGCTGAAGAGTTCTGTTCATTTTGCCGTTACTCTTGTTTATGAGAGTACTCCCCGTTCATAGCGGGTAAAATCATATCAGGAAGAGTATGCTATTTGTGCTCGCTTTTTGTTTAGTAACATATGACAAACTATTTATGAAATTATTCACCATTTATTTAATATTTCACAGCTTGGGACACAGCACTAGCTGATGAGGCCTACCGCCAGCAAGTTGATATTCTTGCTCAGCAACAGGTTTGCAAACGAGCTTTAAAACTTCGTATAAAGTCTTTTAGTATTTTTTCTGCGATGTTTGTAACTATTTGAAGAGTACTATTTACATTCAATTTTTAGGGATAAGTTTGTTCTTTGGATTATAAAGATCACATAATATATATGGAAGTAAAATTGATCAATTTTCTGTCAAGTTTTTGATCTGTGATGTAACTTAGTGTACATAATGGTCCTGGATTATTGTGTGCTAATCAGGAGCAGAAACAGTTGGAGTGGGAAGCAATGGAGGAAGAAATGCGCGATACTGATAGGTAATTCCTAGTTGTCTATTTCACTTAACTTTTCTCCACGAAGTAGTCGATAATAGTGATAGTAAACACAGCTATAGTGAATTTTTTAAGAACATGTATGGTAATACTGGTTGCGGAATGATGTGTATTTAGGTTTTCAGAAGTGCTTTATTTTGATAATTCCTAATTAACTAAAAATCAGAAGACAGCAGTCTTCTCTGGGTTTAGTTAGTTGTCCTTTTGAGGACTACTAACTAGCTAGCAGATGGTGCTGAATCTTTTGCTGAAATTCAATGGTTGTGAACGACATTGTTCGCCTAAAAAACGGTGTGGTGTCTACCAGGGCTCTCGCTGAAGCCGCTGCAACGGTTAGAGGTGCAGAAAATTTCACTCTGAAGTCTAAAGGGAAGAAGAAGTTGAAGAAGGCAAAGTTCAAAACTTTGGCGGAAGGCTCTTTGATGACTGGGACTGAAGATATCTCTATCAGGGAAGAATTTCAAGTTGACAGGAGTAGTGACCCTTCTTACAGGGATCAACATTCTGACATGATGCTCTTACCCCATCGGAGTCTGTCTCAAAGAAAGCGCAAGGCTCCAATGTTGCTAAAAGAAGAAGTTCGAGTTGAGGCGCACACAAAGAAGCTCAAAAAGAATCATTTTGGCAAAGATAGAAGAGTGGCTGGAGAAAAGGTTCTTTATGAAATCCCTGACACAAGAATTTGGTTGTTAACAGCTGAGAACTAAGTTACAACTGAATTTGAAATGATCTGGAGTAACCAAGCTAATTTACCAGCTTAAGTTTACTTGCTAATTTTATGTCGACTTCCTAACTTGCTGGGTGTGTAAACTTGTACCACTTTTCATCAACCAGCAGGCAACTAATCTAAATGTCTTTCTTACGACATGTCATCCTCCATTTATCTGTCACTAATTTTTCAAATCCTTATGACTTTTTCAGGGTCAAGGGAAGCAGAGGACACTGGAGGATAATATCTTTAGAACAATTTTTGGAATCTCCAATGATCACAAGTCGTCAGGCTCTACTCTCCAGGAGAGTGTTGATCAGCCGGGTGGTTTATCAAATTCTGGTGTGCATGGAGGTACGGTCTTGGCCGGAAAGGATAAGAGAGGGAAACTTACGATCTTGGGAATGCCTCCCAAGAAGGGACCCTTGATAATGTTGGAAAAGGAACGGAAGAAAGACAGTTTGAGGTCCCAGGATCATCTCCCTCCTGCTTCACCCTGGACACACGGAGAGGATGCTGTTCTTTGTGCAGTAGTCCACGAGTATGGAGGTAATTGGCAGCTAGCGAGTGATGCATTGGCAGGTGGACCTGATGGCGGTGTGTACAGAGGTCGACATCGTCATCCAGTCTACTGCAGAGAGAGGTTTCGAGAGCTCCTTGCTCAAAATGCCGCTGCTGCTAGTGGAGATCCTGTTAGCGAAAGGAGTGCACTTAGTGCTGCCACAAATGCTCAACTGAAAGTAACTGAGGTAAGTGTGCTCGACTGTTGTTGATATCCAGTTTCCTTACGGTTTACGTGAATTGTATGAGTTCTTCGTCGTGATTTTCAAGGCGTCTGACTCATTTTATGGCTTCTGTTTCAGGAACATACGAAGCGTTTACTAAATGCTGTATTACAGCTTCCAGATAAAGAGCTTCTCCTTCAGCGGCATTTTGTGGCTGCTTTAGCTGCTGTTGAAAAGTGGAGAAAAGTTGCTGCCAAGCATGGTTCTGAGAAATTACTCACATCTGCTACCACAAATTCTCCGTCTGGCCGTAGTTTTGTGCCGCTGAGAAGCCTGTTAAAATCTCCTTCTTTATTAACTAAGGCCGGAGCTGGGATGCCGTCCCCTCGACAAGTGTCAACTGCTCTAGCACAACTTGAGAAAGGGACTAAAGTGCTTTCTAATCAAACTTTAGCCAAACCGCATCGTAAGGAGCAAGTTTCGGAGGATTCATCCCTTAGGGCTGAAATTGTGAACTTCAATATCACACAATACCTTGTGGGATCCCGCGAGTATGGCGAGTCCTCTGCAAAGGAAGGCGAACCAAATCTGCGTGCACAAGGTGTATCTGTGCCAATTACATTTGAAGCTCTTGGTTTTCCTTCTTTATCATCGTCTCCTCCTCGTCTTACTTCAAAGGCTGTACGACATCTAGCAGACATATTGGTGGAGAATCGATTCAGGTTCTGTATATTTCCTGCCTATTCTTTTTATCGTGTCTTTTGCATTAACAGTATTCGTTCCGTCAGGTATCCGGACTTGCGTGGAAGGACTTGTAAATCTTGGATGTGTTTTGTGTGTTGTGTTTGTCCTTCGCATCTTCTGGCAGTACTTGTGTAGCTAAAGTCATCCATTTATATTGCTTGTTTGATGCGAACATTGCAGGTTTGCTACTAAGATTGGTTGGGATGGAGCTACCCGTGATTGGGCTGCTGCTGGAGGCTCTGGCACAGGTGTTCTAGGCTTGCACATTCCAACCAAGGGAAAAGGGGGATCTAAGAAAAGGCATATCTTTGATTCAAATAAAACTCCCAAAGCGAAACTACTGAAGACGTCCAAGTTTGGCGTGAAAAAGGGGCTGACTGATTCTACATTCAATCAACCCGCTTGTGGCCCAGTGGTTAATGCAGATGATTTTAATAGTCCATCAGGTCATGATGTTGAAATGAAGGTGAAGGTAGCATTGTCTGGAACATCGTCAGGACGAAACCTGTTGCTTCTTCAAAAGACAGGCGTGAAACGAATTAAAAAGAAAGCTATGAATAGTGCATCATCCGTTTCACCGCCTGCTCCTGGACATCTGGACTTAAATGTTCAGCAGCCTGACGCACTGGTTTTGAATATTAAGGTATGTAAAAAGGTCAAAAAGAGCAGCTCTGGAGTTGTACCTGGAGCTATCGAAATTGCACACAAGATGGCGAAGAAATCGCCAAAAAAGTTAAATTCACTATCTAAACCTCTCACGAATCCTGAAGCAGGTGTTGGCTCTCCAATTGGTTTGGGTCTCTCAGGTGGCAGCCCGTCGAGATACCGTGCTTTTAATGGGGATAGTACACGAAATAATCTCTCTCCAGGAAGGGGAATAGATCTTAACGGATCTAGCGACGAAGATGTTACCATTGTGGGGATTTCAGCTGGTACTAGATATAATTTGCTTCATTCCCAAGTTCCAGCCCCATTTAGTAAGCCAGGGACATCCAGGCATTTCACCAAGAAATCCGAGATATCAAGTGCAGCAAGGTCGAACATTGCGGGACTTGAGAGATCTGTCGAGCTGGATTTTTTAGGTTCACGGTTATCTGTAAAAGCTTTTGAATCCTTGAACAACGAGGATTCTAGTTTAGCATCACACTTGATGAATATACTTACGTGTTCGCCAGCTCAGGACTTACTTGCATTTGATGGCGTTCCTGAAGGGCTCTCCCGAGTTCAATGGCCGCCTGCTCCAGGCGGTTGGCCTGTTTCTACACTTAATGATCTGGACCTCCCCATAGATCTGTCCTCGCCCTCATTTTCAGAGGGCAAGCAGAAGTCGGCGGTGGCATTACCCTTCAGGAGTTCTTCTCCAGGACAGGCGGGGAGGAGTCTTGGAAAGGAATCTTCCCTTTCAGTCTCACGATTGCAAATGACAGAGGGTACAGCGAGGATGGTCAACCTGCAAGAAGAGCCTGATCACACTCCTACATGGTCGCGAGAGACACAATCTAACAGTCAAAGCCAAGAAGCGGCTCGCTACACATCCTCAAGCCATCCCCCAGGTGGGAGTGATCGTCCGAGAAAGCAGATTCGCTTCAGTCCATGTAATCCTGTGCGTCCTATGTCAGAAACTGGATCTTCTTTATTGCACCATGCATCCCCGTCCCGTAGTTTGAAAGCTCCTTCACATATTAGACATCCCTCTTCTAGTCAGACGTACCAACCTGGAGCATTTCCAGAGGTTGTAGCACAATCCTTCCAAAGCCTAGAGTCCCCTGTAGATACCGGGTTGGAGATCCCTTTCGGTTTAAGTGTGCTTCAGAAACTATCAGCAGGTGCCAGATTGTCGCCGGATCTGCAATCCCACAACTCACCTCCTTAGAATACAAGATCTGATGTTCCAGTTTTTCTTTTTGCAAACTGGAGTCGGAATTGATTCCACAGAATAGCTCTGAGCTGGGTCTTGTTCTACTAAACAATTTTTGTAACACAAGCGAAAGCTAAAGCTGCATACCTGTGGCATTGTAGGATACCCGAAGATAACAAGTAAAGTTCGTTATATTCTTTTACCACATATACATGTAAATTAACTCCGAATCTATGTACCCAACTCACAGTAACTGTGCAAGTCTTGATTGTACAGATTTTTCTTGTAAAAAGGGAGCCTTTCTTGAGTTTCATTCACTAAATGTAGAAGTTTTTCTTCTTAGACTTTGATTTTGTGTGAGTAGGAAAATTTAGATGTTTTTCACGAAAGTGGGTTGACATGAAACTCCACCTTTTCTCAATCAACACGAAGAACTTCACCTCAAGCTTGTTGAGTTGATGAAATCCGTTCTGGTGAACTTGGTCAGAAGCGTTTACTTTGTTGAATATATCCACCTACTGTGTTTCAGTCTGGGTTCTGTCACTAGTTAAAGTTATGATATGATATGTTGATAAACTTATGATATGTTCTAATTGATTAGAATGAGGGTTTGGAAGTTTTGAAGATTTCTTATAATTACCATAAAGATTTTTGTTGGAGCTATTTGTGGATTTTTGTACAATGAGGGTTTAGGATATGATTAGAGTTTATTAAGATTGAGGCTTTTTTAGGTTGGTTAGAAATTAGAATATATTTAGGATTTTTTATACTAGCATTTGATATCCTAAAATTTGCTTATGCTCTTACTAGCATTTGATTACTTCTAAGATTTGATACTATTATTATAAATGTTTTGGAATATAATTAGTATTGTTCAAAGAAATTTTAATATGAAATTGTGAATTTGTGTTGGTAGGGTGCAATTGGAATATGTGTAAGTGATTCATCATTATACATTTTTGGAAATCAATTAAGATGTATATGTTTATGATATAAAGGTTTTTGCCTTACTTTGGAAGTAAACATTTATAATCAAGATGAAGTAATATAACAATTATTTTTTTCAACACCAAACATACAAGACACTAGTGGAAATATGAGAAGATAATTTCTAATGTGTGTTATAGAATTGAAGCTTTTACTATAAAGAGAGGACTTATTGCACAAAAATTAATGTAAAAATCTATATAATAAAGTTAAACATGTCATAAAAGAATTTAACTATTTAATATCTTATAGAAACAAAAGAATGGAATGAAACCTTCTATTAAGTGAGTTATTTTTTATATTGAAAAAAGTTATTTTACTTCCAAAGAATTACATAAATCCAATTCACAACAAAGTAATAATCTTTCAAGTAAAGAATAAAGAGACATTTGAAAAGTACTTTGGAATTTGAAGTGTTGTAATGATGTAGTAAGTAACATGCTTTTAAAGCATAATTTCAAAAAAATTAAAGGCAATATGATAGTTACTTTTGATATAACAATCTATAAAGCTGTAAAAGATAATAAAAAATATCTACATAAAAGGTTGATCTTTGCAAATGAACAAGAACATTTTCAAAACTATGGATTAATGAAGCATCTATTACAAAGTCTTCTAATCTTTGTAGTAGAAGTTCCATAAAAAGAAGAGAATTAGAAGATTTAAAATTATTATTAAATATAAAAAAGCTTGAACTTATATACTCTTAAGTAAAAAAGCTAGTGAGAAGGTTTATAAGAAAGTGGTTGAGACTTGTGTATAAAATTAAAAAGATAGATATTGGATTTAAAAACTTTTTATGAAAGAAATGAGCATTCTAGCAAGTCTAAGCCATTTGTGAATGTAAAATTCACCCCTCAACCCAAATTACAATATGGTCTCAATTAAGAGTTGCTTGTAATTAGTAGTGTGAAGTAGAAGTAGCAAGAACAAAAATATAAGAAGCACAACACATAAACAAGTGAAATAAGTACAACCAAGCAATTATAATCTATAAAATTAGTCATAGTATGTTCATTTAATTTTTATCCAATAAAAAATAAAAAATAAAAATAAAAAAATATATTTTTAGAAAATTAACTTTTTATCTTTTCAATGATATAAGAAACATATAAATCTGAGTTATTGTGAGTAAGTTATGAAGGTTTAAAAATAACAAGTAAATAAATAAAAAGTTAAGTAAATAATTTTATACCTCAAGGATAACTTGTTTAAGAGATCAAGAGTTCGAGCCTCACTAAGGCTCACAAGTAGTATATATGGGTGTCTAAGAGAGGCTATGAGACCTTAGTCTTATCCTCCTAACTACCTTCAAGGTGCTACAATCCATATGGGACTTGTGTATCTTCTTTTTTATAAAGACTATATTAGCTGCTGGTCCTCCTATTTTCTATTAGTAAAACCAATATTTTTTCATTTTTAAATTTATCATGGTATTTAAAAACACCCAATTAGCCTAAGAACCTTTTTTGGCCTTCAAACCTTAATCCATTTCTTCATAATGGCTCCCGAAGTGGTAAAATTCATTTTTATCAAAATCTTAGATATTACTCTAAAAATTCCTAAATAATTCCAAAAAATTTCTAAAAAAATATGAAAATATTTTTATAATATTAAAATCAATTTAAAGCTATATTTTATTTATCTTGATAATTTTTATAGTAATAAAATAAATTTATTTCTACTATAAATCCTACTTTTTATATAACTAACTAAAAAGACATGAGGTTCTTTTTTATGCTTCTTCTAACTACTAACTAAAATTTATAGTTTTTTTCTTTTTTATATAAATAATACATATAGATATAAATCCAATATAAATATTGATCTTAATAAATAATCCTTGATACTCAATAATAAATAAAAATACTAAACCTACTAAGATAATTGCTTCTAAGAATTATTAAGATTCCATTTTTACAACCAATTTCTAATTTTTTATTTGTCTTAGGATTTCTACACTACTCACTATATATTGTGGTTTTAAACACTCTAAATGCATCTTTTTATCCTAAAATAATTAATGAGTCAATTTGATGATTCATACTATTTCAACTTTATAAAATATTATTTTGTAACAAAGGTAATGCAAATGAAATAGGCCAATTTTTTTGCCTTTAAAGAAGAAAAAAATATTTGTATTTAGGAATAAAATTAATACAAATAAATTTAAGTAAGTTATTTAAAAAAAAATAGATAAGAAAATTACATTTTTTAATTGATGTTATGTTTCAAATTGCAAAAAGAATGTGTTACTTGCATGACATGTATATTACACATCATGATTTAGAGCTTAAAAATATCTTGCTTAATATCATAGAAGAAAATATTATAGATAAAAAAAATTGATATACAATTGTTAAAGTGATTGATTTTGGAATATCTAAGATTGAAGTTGGAAGCATACTAAAAGCTATAATGAATAAGCATGTTTATGATAATAGAAAATACATGGCTTTTGAAGTATTAAAGAATCAATTTCAAAAAATAACTATGTATTTGAAGAAGATGATTTTTTATTTTTAATAATATATTTTAAGTTTCTTTCTAAAAATGATCCATTTTATGATATAAGAAGGTCAAATGATATATTAAAAATAATTAAAAAAGATTATAGACCATAGTTATCTTTAAATTAATTTAATTGAATTCATTCAAATGTGTTGGAATATCAAAAATATGAATCTTAAAGAATTAAAAGATTATTATACTCTTGTATCACTCAAAAAGTCTAAATAATCACTTAAAGATGATATGATATTAAATTAAAATGGCTATTCTCAAAGACAAGAAAACTAAAAAGTCTTGAAATAAGAATAAGGACTAAAAAAAATTAATAAAACTGAAGAATGTTTCATTCTTGCCTCCATATATACTATTTAAGTAGGAGCTACATAGTGATGTTCTATAGAATACATGTCTAAATTATAAGACTTGTGTCTTAACTTAGAAGGCAACTTTTCTACATATGTGCTATATAATTAGCATATATTATAAGCTACCAATATGTGTAACATATAAATTACTTGTTGGCAAAGTATCTAATCTATCAATCAACTATAAATATGTATAAAGTCAAAATCAAGCCATGAAGCTTCTAGAAAGCTATTTTACAAGATATTATTAAAAATATCTACTTTAATTTACTTCTATTTATTCATATTATCTAAATCATGATTGATGTAAATATGTATGTCCATAATATGAAGCTAAAATCTATTGCAATGACCAAACTTTACAAGTATATGTGAAAGAATGATTCAATTAAAATTATTATATACTCAATACTAAGTTTTTTTGCATGAAGGAAAAAAATTCATCAAACAATAGAATTACAAATAATACAAAATAAATTATCATTGGCAAAACTTGCACTAAAAAATGAAAGAAAAATATATTGAATTGATTAGATTGACAAAAATCAATTTAATTTTTTTATACAAATTTTAAATGCTATAGTGATGAGTATATGATTTAATATGAAAAAAAATTTATAAAATATAATTAAAATTTAAAGTGTTTATTATGCATTTATTTATTTTTTAATAACTTATGATTTAATTTTTAATTATAGATTGATATACTAAAAGAAATACTTATTTTAAATATCACAATTATATATAAGTGATGTAAAAGCATTGTGTCTTGTTGGAATGGATAAAATAGACAAGACAATAACAGCAAAGGTAATATTTAATAATATGAAGCATATATATGATGCCTCATGCTTTGTTGATTGCAATGTAATGAATTTGTTATAAAACCTCATGCTATATTTTTAAATAATTATAAGATAAATCAAAACCAAAGGATTTGAAAGAAGTTCAAGAAATATTGAAATTCTTGACCAAAAACAAAGCCATCTTAGTCTTTGATGATGAAAAGAATTAAATTCAAATTGAAGATGTTTTGAACATAAATAATTTAATTGCTAGAAATGATAGCACATGAATTACAAAAACTTCACATTAAAATATTATTAAATATTCTAATACAAAAATATGTAAAATAAATGTTCAAGGACTTGATAAAAAACAAGTTTGAAGTTATTTACTTTTTCTTATTGATATGAAGATAATATCAACAAGAATAATATTGAAAAAAAAAGATATTGAGATGTTAAAATATCTACAAAGGTTGAAAAATGAAAAAGAGGTAGATAGGGATGAAAATAATAATGACCATAAGATTAACATTATATTAAGAATAAATTTTGACAACT